ATTTATGGGACTTACCTTTTTTTGATCTTCCTGGTTTCTCTGTAGCCCAAACCAGAGGGATTGCTGCATCTGCAACTCCACTGAGTAACTGTCATTATCCTCTTGCTTATTCTGATCCTGTAAGTCTGCCAGCAGGCGTGTCGGTGCTTTCCATGCCGTTTCTGGGGGAATGTGCATTTTAACTGAACTTTCACAAAGTTTACAAAGCGAGTCCTGTCCTCGTAGTGGCAATGGGCGCTCCGGCAAAGAAAGAAACTCATGGGTTCATTTGGTACCACCGCTCACATGTTCCACTGCTTTTAAAAAAAGGCCTGACTGATCATCAACAGCCGGAATTGATGATTTGCTTGGAGGTCCCTTACAGCTAGGCAGGACAGAATGAGTTGTTCCACCATCAATTAAGAAGTCAAGCATTTAACCCCCCGGCTTGACTGGAACCAGGGGATCAGCTGGGGAATTTCTGAAGATGTCTGCCAGTTCCCCTCATTCTAGATCCTCTTCCAACATCGTAACATTAATGTCTCCCATTGGATTTGAGTTCCCCTTCACAGTAGGACATTTATTTTTCCAATGTCCTCCTTGCTTACAAGTGGCACACTGATTAGGTCCCACGGGTGGTCTCAGAATCTGTTTTCCAGAGACTGTTCCTTGTCTACCTCCTTGTCCCATTCTCCTTCCTCCCCCTGTACCTCTGTTCCCAGTACTTAGGCCATTGTTTGCTAGAACCCCAGCGAGAGCCATTGCTGACATGGATGTCTGGGCCTTTGCCTGACCCTATCTTCCTTTTCCCTATCCTCCCTATTATTACAGACTTTGTAAGCTCTTTCTGTTAATTCCGCAGTGGGTTTCCCTTCTGCCCCTTCAGTCTTAATCACTTTCTTTTTTATATCTGGTGCTGATTGCGCCATAAATCAGCCATTAAACATTTCCCTATTATTCTCCTCACCTGGTTCAAATTCTGTCCATTTATACGCTGATTCTCATATCTGCTCATAGAAGGCAGGCGGGGTTTCATCTGGTCCTTGTCTAATTTCATATGCCTTCAATAGATTCTTTTGTTTCAGCACCACATTTTTTTTATGCCATGGAATGTCAAGTCCCTGTGCCTTTGGATAACCATCATTCCCTCCGCTGTGTTTGGGTCAAGTCTGGTTCCTGATCAGTAGGAACACTAAGCTCATTCTTCCCAGGGATCTCTCTCCTTTCTTTCTCCTTTCCAGCCCCTTCCGACACCTTTCGTTTGCCCTCAGCTGTGAACAAAGCATCAAAAAGCACCTGCGTATCTTCAGAGTTTGGGTTACAAGTTGGAATTACTGTCTTCCTCAACGGATGAGCTTTCTCCACCTTTTCTCGATATGAATCTAACGCTGCCAGTTTAACAAATCTGCAGCAGTGAGACCTGTACAAACAACGGGCCGTCCATCCCCCCAGCCTGACGGGACCCGGAGAACAGGACCTTGACCTCTTGTTCGGCTAGCAACGGGGCTAAAAGTTTCACTCCTTCTCCCAGAGTTAGTAGGAGCAGCTCCCGGCCGGCTCTTCTCCATTTGGAGAGGGGAAATAGGGACGTATTCTCTGAAGGAGGCTCTGGTCCCTTCTTCCCAGCCCCACAGCCCATGCAACAACCCTCCTCATCATTTTCACTATCCAATATATGCAACTATATATATATATATGTTTTTATATATATATATCTCCCGTTCCCCCTGTCATACATATTTAGCAACTTGCATTTCCTTCTAGTACCGTAATCAGTCCTTAAAGTCATAAACCCATCCACATGTGGTACTTCATCCCATTTTCCCACAAGTTTAAAAAACAACATTAGCTGTAATACAGTGTTATATGTTTAAAGAGTCCCCTTCAGGCCACTTTCCCCATGCTCCAACAAATATAGTGGCTACCACTGATTCCAGTATAGTTTCATTCTTAATTTAAATTAGAGGATCTCCAAACTTTTTCCAGCTTTTCAAAATATACCCCAAGAGGGTGCAAGGAGAAGTTGTGGTAGAGGAGGCTGCACCCATCTTTGCTTACCAAATGATATTACCCAATTCCCTTGCCCTTATTGCTGTAGACCTTTGAACAGTCTACCACTGCACGCCACTCCAACCCACCTGGCTGATAATAATTTTTACTTCGCTGAAAATCCCAAATTCTCTGCCTGTTTGCCCTGGGACACCGCTGCTAGGCCTTGCACCTTTGAGTCACCGGTCCGCCCGTCCTGGAGCCGGGACTGACCAGACAACCCGGGCAAGGTGTGGCCATCCCATCGGGGAGGCCCAAATCTCATCCCAACGGGAGGGTTCTTCCACCCGGTGCTCAAGCCAACACACAAAGGGTTGAGGTACTTCTTTTATTCCCTAAATGCGCAGCGAGGGGTGCCGGGGGCGTTTCCACCCCGCTCCACCCCGCACCAAAGCACTTCAGTGTATTTCTACCCCTCGGCCCACCCGAACACACCGGTGCTGGAGTGAGCAGGGCCACGTTCTGGTCGCTCTGTCCCTCTCCGGGTACCAACGGGCCTCGTCTCGATGGAAAGTCCCAGCGGCTTTTAGTTCTCCTGCGCCAGCACGAAGGGCGAGGGGGGGCCCGTCCTCCTGCTCCTCACTCGACTCGGCCGGTGGGGTCTCTCCCGCCCACTGACGCCGGTTTTTGCTCAGGCTCTGAGGATCGCCCGGCCTTCGGCGCCTTCTGGGGCCGGGTGCTCCCTCTTCTCAGCCTTTGGGCTGCTCCCCGAGGGCACAGCCCTGAGCAAGCCCTGCAGCCTCCGCACCAGGGCTCTGAGCTACACAACAGCCCCGGGATTAGTGCTGCTCCGGAGGAGGGGGGGGCCGCGCCCCGACCCCCCAGGAGGGTCCCTGCAGCTGAGCCCTCGCCCCCCCAGATGCTGATACTGGGGGGCAGAACGGCCGGGGGGTTGGGGCTGTGGGGGGATCAGTGTGGGTGTGCACGAGCGGCGTGGGGGGGGGTGCAAGTGCAGGGGTGCCCGAAGGTCGGGGAGGGGTGGGGGTGTGTGTGTCTGTGTCCCTCTTCCTGCTCCCCACCTCCTCCTGCCCTCCCACTCCCCCTCCATCCCTACCAATCCTCCTCCTCCATCCCTCCTCCTCCTCCTCCACCCTGGCCCAGCTCCCCCCTCCCTCCCCACTTCCATCCCCCCCAAACTCCCCCCACCCCCCAGGAGGGCCAGGGCTGGAGATGGCTCAGGGCGGGATGAGGCAGTGGGGGGCTGCTGGCTGCTCCCACCCGCCGTGGGGGAACCCGGGAAGGGGGAAAGAGGGGAAAAAGGGAGAAAACCCGTAAACGGAGGAAAAAATAGAGGGGCAGGAGGAGGCCATCACTCACCCCCGACCAAGGGGAGGTGGATGCCCAAACACTTCCTGACTGAAATCTGGCCAACCCCCACCCCCAACCACCTCGTCTCCATGTTATTGCTGTTCATAACGTGAAGATCTGTTAAAGCCCACCAAGGACTCACCACTGTGGATGGCTTCCTGATGCCTGCTAAGGTGGTAAGTCTGCCGGAAGCTCTTCCCGCAGCGCGAGCAGGGGTAGGGCCTCTCTCCCGTGTGGATGCGCTGGTGGATGAGGAGGTTCGAGTGCCAGGAGAACCGTTTCCCACAGGTGATGCAGAGAAAGCGCTTCTCCTCAGAGTGTGTCTGCCGATGATGCAGGAATTTCCCTTTCTCCCTGAAGGTTTTCCTACAATCTGGGCACTTGAAGAGCTTCTCCCCCGTGTGGGTCCATCTGTGACGCGTCAGGTTGCTCGAAGAGGCAAAGCCCTTCCCACACTTCTCACACTTGTGCTCCTTCCCTCTGGAGCTACGACTTGGTTCTGTTGACTCTTCCTGATGGGCTTCAGCGCCCGTCCCTTCCAAAGAGCATCTTTGGGTTCCTCTTGGCTCTTGGCTACCATGCATCTCCCCTGGCTGCCGGGGGACATCCTGGTCCCCGTCCACCTTGGGGCTCTGGGGCTCCTCTCCGGCTCCTTCCAGCACCACCCTCTGCTCCTCCTTCTCCTTGCCTGTCCCATCACCTGTGGGGAGACCAAAGGGGCTCATTTCGGGGCTCTGAAGGCAGAGGAAGAGCAGCCCCCTGCTCCAGCAGCTCCAGCCCAGCCCAGTGCCCCCCAGCCCCGTGCTGAGCAGCTGCTGGAGCCCTTCCAGCAAGGCCTCCACCCTCACCAGTGGCCGCACTGGGATCCCAGATGGCTCCAGCACCTGACACCACAGAGCAGGGGTGCCGCCACCCCCAGGCTGACTCCTGCACATGACCCCAAACCCGCTCACACCAGTCCCCCCAGAACCAGGCACTGGGGACAGAAATACTTGAGGGAGAGATGGAATAACCGAGACAGGACCAACTGCCGTGACCGACGCACAGACCCACCCCCTTGTACTACGCCGCCAGACCCTTTTACACCCTTTCCTCCTCCTGGCCCCCTTCCCTGCTCATTACCTCCTGCGCACGCACAGCCCCCGCTCCAGCCGGGCATCCTTATCAGCTGTGGGAGCTGCCAGCCCTGCCTGCGGTGCACAAGTGTGTAAAGAGATGGGGGTGCAAGTGCACGGCTGCCCACGGCTCGGAGTGTGTGTATCCTCCTGATCCTCCTCCATCCCTCCTCCTCCTCCACCCTGGCCCAGCTCCCCCCTCCCTCCCCACTTCCATCCCCCCCAAACTCCCCCCACCCCCCAGGAGGGCCAGGGCTGGAGATGGCTCAGGGCGGGATGGGGCAGTGGGGGGCTGTTGGCTGCTCCCACCCGCCGTGGGGGAACCCGGGAAGGGGGAAAGAAGAGAAAAAGTGAGGAAACCCAAGAGCTGTGGTAAAATAAATTGCGCAGGAGGAGGCCGGACAGGGCCATCACTCAGCCCTGCCCATAGGGATTTGGACGCCCAGACAGTTCCCAAACCAAAGGTGGCCAACCCATACCCCCAAATCCCCATCTCTCCATTTTTTTGCTGAGCACTGACACAGGGTTCAGCCACCCCCGAGGACTCACCATTGTGGAGGCCCTGCTGATGCCTCCTGAGGTCACACTTCTTCCAGAACTTCTTCCCGCAGTGTGAGCAGACGTACGGGATCTCTCCCGTGTGGATGCGTTGGTGTTTGACGATCTCTGTCCTTGAGGAGAAGCGTTTCCCACACGTGGTGCAGAGAAAGGGCTTCTCCTTGGTGTGCGTCCTCCAGTGACACAGGAGGGTTGCACTCTCCCTGAAGCTCTTCCCACACTCCTGGCACTTGAAGGGCTTCTCTCCCGTGTGGATCCGTTGGTGACGGATCAGGCTGCTCCCACGGGTGAAGACCTTCCCACACTCCTGACACTTGTGCTCCTTCTCTATCAAGCTACTCCTCGGTTGGGTTGAGTCCTCTTGAAGGTCTTCAGCACACGACCCTTGGAAAGAGCATCTTCGGGTTCCTCTTGGCTCTTGGCTACCTCGCGTCTCCCCTGGCTGCCGTGGGACATCCTGGTCCCCATCCACCTTGGGGCTCTGAGGCTCCTCTCTGGCTCCTTCCAGCACCACCCTCTGCTCCTCCTTCTCCTTGTCTGTCCCATCACCTGTGGGGAGACCAAAGGGGCTCATTTCGGGGCTCTGAAGGCAGAGGAAGAGCAGCCCCCTGCTCCAGCAGCTCCAGCCCAGCCCAGTGCCCCCCAGCCCCGTGCTGAGCAGCTGCTGGAGCCCTTCCAGCAAGGCCTCCACCCTCGCCAGTAGCCGCACTGGGATCCCAGATGGCTCCAGTAGCCTTGCCTGTTACTGCTGTGTCGTGGTTTGAGCCCAGAGGGCACCCGAGCACCACGCAGCTGCTCGCTCGCCCCGTCCCCCTCAGGGCTGGGCAGGAGAAAATCAAATCGAAGGTCCAGGGGACCCAGACAAGGATGGGGGGGACCAGATTTGGGGTCCACCCCCGCTGTGACTTGGGCACCGAGGGTGCTGGCGCTGGGATCACAGCCCCTCCTGCCCCCAGCAGCCCTGCAGCAGCCTGGGCCCTGCGGTACCTGCCAGCCCCTGCCCGCCCCCCCCTGCACCCCCCCTGCACCCCTGGCTGTACAAGAGTGTAAAGATGTTGGGGTGCAAGTGCATAGGTGCCCATGGATCCGAGTGTCTGTATCTTCCATCATCCTCCTCCTCCATTCTTCCTTGTCCTTCATCTTGGATCAGTGGCCAACCTTGGTCCCCACTTCCATCCCTCCCAGAGTCCCCCCACCCCCCGGGAGGGCCAGGGCTGGAGATGGCTCAGGGCGGGATGGGGCAGTGGGGGGCTGCTGGCTGCTCCCACCCGCCGTGGGGGAACCCGGGAAGGGGGAAAGCAGAGAAAGAGGGAGAAAAAACTTGTGGGTGGAGGGAAACACAGTGTGGCAGGAGGAGGGAGGAAGGGGCCATCACTCACCCCGGCCCAGGAGGAGATGGTGCCCAGACAGTTCCCAACCAAAATCAGCCCAATCACGGCCATGAACCCGTCCACCCCGTTTTATTGCCCAGCACATCAGGATTAATGAGTGGGGTTGGAGTGAGTGGTGGAGTTTTTGGTAGCAGGGGAGGGGGCTGCAGTGGTGGCCTCATGTCAGAAGCTTCTCCAGCTCCCTCGGCTCCACGTCAGACCCACCTCTGCGCCAAGGCCAAGCCACGTAGCTGCACCCCTGCGAGAACAGATGTCAGAAGGGGATGTGGGAGGAGGAGTGGGGAGTTGTGAGGAGGAAGAGTTGCGACTTTGATCTGAACACCGAGTTCAGTGGAGGAAGGGAAGAGGAAAGTGCGGAGGAGCTGCACCAGAGCAGAGACCCCCCTGAATCCTTTGGGGAGAGGGTGAAACAAAAAAGGCCCCAACAGTCGGCCTCAAACCAAAGTTGACTTCTGAGGGAATTCCCCGACCAGCAACCAGCATCTTATCAGCAGCATGAAGCAACCAGCACCTTAACAGCGTGAAATGCACCCCTGGGAACAATCCCTGGGAACTATAAGTAAACAACAGGACTAACCTATAAATCCCAAATGTAAAGAAAAACAGAAACTTCTCAGACGTGCCCGGATCCTGGCCAGATCCGGACACACCTGAGTGAGGCATATCAATCTACCAGATATCTCCTGGGCGTTTTGTATAGACTTGTTTGTTAAACTGTATAAAAGCTGGACCCTCTCCCAGCACAGACGCAGACCTCCCCTACGAGCGGACGCCCTGCGTGGGACTTCCCATTTCTGGGAAAGGCTCTGCATCCTTCGCTGGGACGGGGCTCCCCAGCTGGTGCACGGGGCGGGGGGATGGCAAAGTAGGAAGGCAATTGGTGATGGATCTTTCTTAATCACTATAGCCAGCTTTACGTAGCAATGACTAGGTGCGTTACCTCCCTTGTTCTTTCTGCTGCTTTAAACTAAAGTAAAATAAGCCTATTTCTTTAGCTTGGTGTCTGTGTCCTTTGTGTTAACCCCGTCAACTGGCAAAACAGAGGGCTAGGCTACACCCTGCCACCCATGGAGGTCTGTGGTAGAGCAGACACCAACATACAATCTGGGGGGGCACCACACCCCCACCCCCACCCCCAATTTTCAGGTGACTCCACCCAAAGGAAGACAGCGTCTTGGAGGAAGCAGCCCCCGCTGTTGCAGCTTGGTGCTGGGAGGTTTGTCACGCGTGGGGCTCACCCCACGCCCAAGCAGCTCAGAAAACGCCCCTGGGAGGGAATCATCTCAGAGAAGGTTTGTGGAGGATTATCTCCTCCCAGAAGGGGACCATGCTGGAGCAGGGAAAAGAAGTTCCAGAAGTTTTTCCCTTCCCCAGCAAGATGGAAGAAGTGGCAGCACTGACTGAACCCCCCCATTCCCTGCCCCCAGTGACACCACGGGGAAGAGGTAGAGAGATCGAGCGGGAGCAAAGCAGAACCTGGAAAGAAGAGAGGGGAGGGGAAAAGTCTTTTCAGGATGTAGTAATGCCTCTCACAGTCCTGCTCTGTTAAGTGTTGTTGTTGTCAGTGTCTGCATTGAATTTATGTACTTTTTCTAATTCCCCCAATGAGTTTCTCTTTTGCCCAGATCTTAACAGGTGAGTCATCCCTCCCTGTCCTGTCTCGACTCCCAAACCGTTACTTACTTTCTCCTTCCCAGCACTGGAGGGGGAATGGGGAAGCGAGCACCTGCACGGTGCTCAGTTGCCCTCTGGGCTCAAACGACAAAATCCCCGAGGACTCACCCTTGTGGCGGGTTTGCTGATGCTTCCTGAGTTGAGCTTTCTGCCGGAAGCTCTTCCCGCAGTGCGAGCAGGCGTAGGGTCTCTCTCCCGTGTGGATGCGTTGGTGGATGATGAGGTTTGAGCACCACGTGAAGCGTTTCCCACACGTGGTGCAGATGAAGGGCTTCTCATTCGTGTGTGTCCTCTGGTGAGACAGGAGGTTCCCTCTCTGCGAGAAGCTCTTCCCACACTCCTGACACTCAAAGGGTTTCTCTCCTGTGTGCATCCGTTGGTGACGGGTCAGCCTGCTGCTGCAGGTGAAGACCTTCCCACAGTCCACACACTTGTATACCTTCTCTGTGGAGCTACTCCTCGGTTGGGTTGAGTCTTCTTGAAGGTCTTCAGCATACGTCCCTTTGAAAGAGCGTTTTCGAGGTCCTCTTGGCTCTTGGCTACCTTGCGTCTCCCCTGGCTGCCGGGGGACATCCTGGTCCCCGTCCACCCTGGGGCTCTGGGGCTCCTCTCCGGCTCCTTCCGGCACCACCCTCTGCTCCTCCTTCTCCTTGCCTGTCCCATCACCTGTGGGGAGACCAAAGGGGCTCATTTTGGGGCTCTGAAGGCAGAGGAAGAGCAGCCCCCTGCTCCAGCAGCTCCAGCCCAGCCCAGTGCCCCCCAGCCCCGTGCTGAGCAGCTGCTGGAGCCCTTCCAGCAAGGCCTCCACCCTCGCCAGTAGCCGCACTGGGATCCCAGATGGCTCCAGTAGCCTTGCCTGTTACTGCTGTGTCGTGGTTTGAGCCCAGAGGGCACCCGAGCACCACGCAGCCGCGCGCTCGCCCCGTCCCCCTCAGGGCTGGGCAGGAGAAAATCAAATCGAAGGTTCAGAGGACCCAGACAAGGATGGGGGGGAACCAGATTTGGGGTCCACCCGCCCTGTGACTTGGGCACCGAGGGTGCTGGCGCTGGGATCACAGCCCCTCCTGCCCCCAGCAGCCCTGCAGCAGCCTGGGCACTGCGGGACCTGCCCGGCCCTGCCCGCACCCCCCTGCGGTGCACAAGCATGTCAGGAGGTTGGGGTGCAAGTGCAGGGGTGCCCATGGATCTGGGTGTCTGTTTTTCCCCTATTTCGACTCGGTTTACTATTCCATCCCTCCCCATCATTCATACTTCCTCTTCATCCCTCCTCCAGCATTACTCCTTGCCCTGGGCTTGAGTGAGTGGTGGGGTTTCTGGTAGCAGGGGAGGGGGCTACAGCACTGGCCTCATGGGAGAAGCTTCTCAAAGCTCCCCCAGCTCCCAACCAGACCCATCTGTGTACCAAAACTGGGCCAATCAGCTGTGCCTCTGTGATATTGCATTTAAGAAGGGACCTGGGAGGAGTTAGACTTGTGAGGAGGAGTTGGGGCAGCTGTGTGAACACCAAGGTCAGTGGAGGAATGGAGGAAGAAAGGAGGGGGGAGGTGTGCCGGAGCAGAGACCCCCCTGTATCCTGTGGGGAGACGGCAGGGCGGCCCCCCCCTGCCACCCATGGAGAGCTACGGTGGAGCAGACACTGACTTATGGCCTGTAAGGTGTTTCACGTGGCCAATTAAGGTGACTGCGCCCAAATGCAGCCAGGATCCTGTGGGAAGAAGCAGCCCCCGCTGTTGTAGTTCGGTGTCAGGAGGATTGCAGCATGTGGGGGTGTCGCAGGCTGGAGCAGCTGCGGAAACGCTGCAGCCCGTGGGAGGGACTCACATCAGAGAAAAGTCATGGAGGACTGTCTCCTGTGAGAGGGGGAAGAAGTTCCAGAAGTTTCCCTGCCCCAAAGATGGCAGAAGCGGCAGCGCTGACTGCACCCCCCATTCCCTGCCCCTGCGCCCCTTGGGGAGGAGGTAGAGATATCGGGAGCAGAGCTGAGCCTGGGAAGAAGGGAGGGGTGGGGGGAAGGTGTTCTCAAGATGTGGCAATGCTTCTCACTGTCCCAATCAATATGTTGTGTTGTGGTTCTTAATGCCTGTAATAAACTTATCTTCTTTTCTTCCGCTAACAAGTCTGCTTTTTGACCCTGAGAATAACCGGTGATTTATCCCTCCCTGACTTATCCCAAATCACAAGCCTTGACTTATTTTCTCCTTCTGAGCGCTGTGGGGGAAGTGAGTGGCTGTGTGGTGCTCAGTTGCTCTCTGAGTTCAAACCACAACACTCCACCTCCATATTCATACTGGTCCAACTCACACCCCCCACCTCCAATTCCATCCCCACCAAAATCCCCCCACCCTCTGGGAGGCCCAGGGCTGGAGATGGCTCAGGTTGGGATGGGGCAGTGGGGGGCTGTTGTCTGCTCCCACCCACCGTGGGGGAACCTGGGAAGGGGAAAAGAAGAGGAAAAGAAAAGTGAGAAAACCCGTGGGTGGAGGTAAAAAGAGTTGGGCAGGAGACAGCAGGAGGAGGCCACCACTTACTCCCACCCATGCAGAGATGGATGCCCAGACAGTTCCTGATCAAAATCTGGCCAACCGCTGCCCCAAAATCCCCTGTTCGTCATTGCATTGCTGAGCACAACGTTATACAGGGTTCAGCCCCCTGAGGACTCACCACTGTGGCGGTTTTGCTGATGCTTCCTGAGGTGATAAATACGCTGGAAGGTCTTCCCGCAGTGCGAGCAGGGGAACGATCTCACTCTCGTGTGGGTTTGTTGGTGTTTCATGAGGTTTGAATACCAGGAGAAGCGATTCCCACAGGTGGTGCAGAGAAAGGGCTTCTCCTTGGTGTGTGTCCTCCAGTGAGACAGAAGATTCCCGCTATCCCTGAAGCCCTTCCCGCAATCCCCACATTTATAGGGCTTCTCTCCTCTGTGCATTCGTCGGTGACGGCTCAGGCTGCTGCCCCAGTTGAAAACCTTCCCACACTCCAGACACTTATAGACCTTCCCTCTGGAGATACTGCTTGGTTGGGTTCCGTGCTTTTGAAGGTCTTCAGCACACATCCCGTGGGAAGAAGAGTTTTGGGTTCCTCTTGGCTCTTGACTACCTTGCGTCTCCCCTGGCTGCCGGGGGACATCCTGGTCCCCGTCCACCCTGGGGCTCTGGGGCTCGTCTCCGGCTCCTTCCAGCACCACCCTCTGCTCCTCCATGGGCTGCCTCTCCTCCTCCTTCCCAGTCCCCCCAGGACCCAGCACTGGGGACAGAAATACTTGAGGGAGAGATGGAATAACCGAGACAGGACCAACTGCCGTGACCGACGCACAGACCCACCCCCTTGTACTACGCCGCCAGACCCTTTTACACCCTTTCCTCCTCCTGGCCCCCTTCCCTGCTCATCACCTCCTGCGCACGCACAGCCCCCGCTCCAGCCGGGCATCCTTATCAGCTGTGGGAGCTGCCAGCCCCTGCCTGCGGTGCACAAGTGTGTAAAGAGATGGGGGTGCAAGTGCACGGCTGCCCACGGCTCGGAGTGTGTGTATCCTCCTGATCCTCCTCCATCCCTCCTCCTCCTCCACCCTGGCCCAGCTCCCCCCTCCCTCCCCACTTCCATCCCCCCCAAACTCCCCCCACCCCCCGGGAGGGCCAGGGCTGGAGATGGCTCAGGGCGGGATGGGGCAGTGGGGGGCTGCTGGCTGCTCCCACCCGCCGTGGGGGAACCCGGGAAGGGGGAAAGAGGGGAAAAAGGGAGAAAACGCATGGGTGGAGGTAAAAATAGTGGGGCAGGAGGAGGGAGGAAGGAGCCATCACTCAACCCCACCCATGGGGAGATGGATGCCCAGACAGTTCCCAAACCACATCTGGCCAACGCCCGCCCTCAAATGCCCTCCTCTCCATTTTATCTCCGAGTAAGACAAGACATGGCCTTAAACCTCCAGGGACTCACCACTGTGCAGGGCTTGCTGATGGCTCCTGAGGTGGTAACTCCGCTGGAAGCTCTTCCCACAGTACGAGCAGGTGTAGGGTCTCAGTCCCGTGTGGATGCGCTGGTGGATGAGGAGGTACGAGCGCCAGGAGAAGACTTTTCCACATGTTGTGCAGAGAAAGGTCTTCTCCTTGGTGTGTGTCGTCCGGTGACGCAGGAGTTTCACACTATACCTGAAGCTCTTCCCACAATCCAGGCACTTGAAGGGCTTCTCTCCCGTGTGGGACTGATGGTGACGGCTCAGGCTGCTCCTGCGGTTGAAGACCTTCCCACAGTCCAGACACGTGTACACCTTCTCTCTGGACTGATTCGTTGGTTGGGTTGCGTCTCCCTGACGGCCCCCACCATACGTCCCTTTGAAAGAGCATTTTCGGGGTCTTCTTGGCTCTTGGCTACCGTGTGTCTCCCCTGGCTGCCGTGGGACATCCTGGTCCATCTCCACCCTGGGGCTCTGGGGCTCCTCTCCGGCTCTTTCCAGCACCACCCTCTGCTCCTCCATGGGCTGCCTCTCCTCCTCCTCCTTTATCTCCTTGCCTGCCCCATCACCTGTGGGGAGACCAAAGGGGCTCATTTCGGGGCTCTGAAGGCAGAGGAAGAGCAGCCCCCTGCTCCAGCAGCTCCAGCCCAGCCCAGTGCCCCCCAGCCCCGTGCTGAGCAGCTGATGGAGCCCTTCCAGCAAGGCCTCTCCCCAGTTCTCTCCCTCCTCCCCGCCCCCGGCGCAGGGGGCAGGGGATGGGGGGGGCGATCACTCCCTTCCCCCTCGGCTCTGCCGCCCCTTCCTCCCCAGGGGGAGGACTCCTCGCACTCCTCCCCTGCTCCCGCGTGGGCTCCCTCCCACGGGACACACTCCCCCTCCGACCGCCTCCTCCCACGGGCTGCCGGCCCCCCAGCAACACACCGCTCCCAGAGTCCCGGCCTGCTTGGGGCGCAGCCCCCTGCTCCCCCGTGGCGTCCTCCCCGGGCTGCGGGGGGGCATCTGCTCCCGCGTGGGCCTCCTCCATGCTTTGCAGGGGAGCCTGTTCCGGCGCACCTCCCCCGCTCCTTCCGTCCTTCCCCGCCCTCAGCGTTTGCAGAGGAATTTCTCTCCTCCTCCTTCTCCTCCTCCTCCTCTTCCTCCCAGCTTCCCCTTCTCAATTTCCTTCTCCCAGGGACGCGCCCACCGTCGCTCATTGGCTCGGCCTGGACCCGGGGGGCTTCGGGCAGGACCCCCCTGCACCCACCCTGCCCCGCACGAGTGTGCAAGGAGATGGATCTGAGCCATGCCAAAGCCCCAACCCATCCCAGCAGGGTGCGGCCGGCTGGGTGCTGAGCACCGCGCCCAGGGTGCTGAGCACCCCGCCGAGGCGGCAGCAGGGTGCGGGGGGGCCGGGGGAAGGCGGCTCAGCCCCGTCCCACCGCACCCAGCCCCGGGGGGGGCCGGGGGGGGCCAGATTCAGGGGCCGTGCTGGGATGGGTGCGATGGGGTTCGGTAGCGGGGTTGGGGGGGGCAGGGGGGTCCTGCCCGAAGCCCCCCGGGCCCAAACCGGAGCCGGCTCTGGGCAAGGCCGAGCCAACGAGCGACGGCGGGTGCAAGTCTGGGATAACGGATTTCAGAAGGGGAAGCCGGGAGGAAGAGGAGGGAGCAGGGAAGGAAACTCCCCTGCAAACCCCAAGGGCGGGGAAGGACGGAAGGAGCGGGGGAGGTGCGCCGGAACAGGCTCCCCTGCAAAGCATGGAGGAGGCCCACGCGGGAGCAGATGCCCCCCCGCAGCCCGGGGAGGACGCCACGGGGGAGCAGGGGGCTGCGCCCCAAGCAGGCCGGGACTCGGGGAGCGGTGTGTTGCTGGGGGGCCGGCAGCCCGTGGGAGGAGGCGGTCGGAGGGGGAGTGTGTCCCGTGGGAGGGAGCCCACGCGGGAGCAGGGGAGGAGTGCGAGGAGTCCTCCCCCTGGGGAGGAAGGGGCGGCAGAGCCGAGGGGGGAGGGAGTGATCGCCCCCCCCATCCCCTGCCCCCTGCGCCGGGGGCAGGGAGGAGGGAGAGAACTGGGGAGAGGCCTTGCTGGAAGGGCTCCAGCAGCTGCTCAGCACGGGGCTGGGGGGCACTGGGCTGGGCTGGAGCTGCTGGAGCAGGGGGCTGCTCTTCCTCTGCCTTCAGAGCCCCGAAATGAGCCCCTTTGGTCTCCCCACAGGTGATGGGGCAGGCAAGGAGATAAAGGAGGAGGAGGAGAGGCAGCCCATGGAGGAGCAGAGGGTGGTGCTGGAAGGAGTCAAAGAGGAGCCCCAGAGCCCCAGGGTGGACGGGGACCAGGATGTCCCACGGCAGCCAGGGGAGACAAAAGGTAGGCGAGCGCGAAGAAGACCCCGAAGATGCTCTTTCAAAGGGACGTATGCTGAAGAACTTCAAGAAGACTCAACTCAACCAAGGAGTAGCTCCAGAGAGAAGGAGCACAAGTGCCTGAAGTGTGAGAAATTTTTCACCCGTGGGAGCAGCCTGACCCGTCACCTGCAGCTCCACACAGGAGAGAAGCCCTTCAAGTGCCAGGACTGTGGGAAGAGCTTCAGGGTTGAAGCATATCTTACGTCCCACCAGAAAACACACATGAAGGAGAAGCCCTTTCTCTGCACCACGTGTGGGAAACGTTTCTGCAGTAGCTCGTCCCTCAGGAAACATCAACGCATCCACACGGGAGGGAATCCCTTCTCCTGCTCACAGTCTGTGAGGACCTTCTGGACCTGGTCTGACCTCATATACTATCAGGAAACCCGCCACAAAGGTGAGTCACTGGCAGGAGCTGAACCCCCCATCACGCTGTGGTCAGCTATAAAATAGAGGGGAGGCAGTTTGGGAGTGGGGCTTGGTCAGATTTCAGTCATGAACAGGCTGGGCATCCATCCCTGCATGGCTGAGCGTAACTGATGGCCCCTTCCTGCCTCCTCAACTATTTTTACCTCCACCCACGGGTTTTCTCCCTTTTTCCCCTCTTTCCCCCTTCCCGGGTTCCCCCACGGGTGGGAGCAGCCAGCAGCCCCCCACTGCCCCATCCCGCCCTGAGCCATCTCCAGCCCTGGCCCTCCCGGGGGGTGGGGGGAGTTTGGGGGGGATGGAAGTGGGGAGGGAGGGGGGAGCTGGGCCAGAGTGAAGGAGGAGGAGGGATGGAGGAGGATCAGGAATGATCCACACACAAATGGCCATGGGCACCCGTGCACTTACACCCCATATATTTGCACACTTGTGCATCATTCCAGGGGTGCGGGCAGGGGCGGGCAGGTCCCGCAGTGCCCAGGCTGCTGCAGGGCTGCTGGGGGCAGGAGGGGCTGTGATCCCAGCGCCAGCACCCTCGCCTTGCAGAGGTTACCCCAATTCCCGACCCCCCCCCCACTGGGCTTGCTGTGGGGGGACTGGGCTGAGCGGCCTTTCTGTGTGTCGTGGTTTGAGCTCAGGGGGTCACTGAGCACCACGCAGCCGCTCACTTGTCCCTTCCCACCCAGCGATGAGAAGGGACAAATAAACCAGGGTTGGGATTCCAGATAGGACCAGGAGGGGCAAATCACCCATTATGGTCACAGGCAAAAAGCAGCTTGTTAAGGGAAGTGAAAAAGAGAATATAGATTTATTACAGACGCTAACAACACATAACAGAGTAGGACAGTGAGAAGCATTGCCACATCTTGAGAACACCTTCCCCCCACCCCTCCCTTCTTCCCGGGCTCAGCTCTGCTCCCGATATCTCTACCTCCTCCCCCAGGGGCACAGGGGCAGGGAATGGGGGGTGCAGGCAGTGCTGCCGCTTCTGCCATCTTTGGGGCAGGGAAACTTCTGGAACTTCTTCCTCTTCTCCCAGGAGACAGTCCTCCACGACTTTTCTCTGATGTGAGTCCCTCCCACGGGCTGCAGCGTTTCCCCAGCTGCTCCAGCCTGGGACACCCCCGCATGCTGCAATCCTCCTGACCCTGAACTACAAGATCAGGGCTGCTTTTTTCCACAAGGCCTTCTTTGGGCACAGTCACCTTGAACATCCATGCGACAAACACAGGCCATAAATCAGTGTCTGCTCCACCGTAGCTCTCCATTTGGTGGCAGGGGGGGGCCGCCCTGCCGTCTCCCCACAGGATACAGGGGGGTCTCTGCTCCGGCACACCTCCCCCCTCCTTTCTTCCTCCGTTCCCCCACTGACCTTGGGGTTCATGCAGCTGCCCCAACTCCTCCTCACAAGTCCGACTGCTCCTCACCACGTCCCTTCTTAAATACGTTATTGCAGAGGCGCAGCTGATGGGCTCAGTTTTCGTGCCGAGGTGGAGCTGACTTGGAGCTGGGGGAGCTTCGAGAAGCATCTCACAGGGGGCCGCCCCGATAGCCCCCTCCCCTGCCACCAAAAAAAAAACCCACCCAAAAACCACCCACCCCATCACTCACTCAAACCCAGGAGTTTGCGCCCCCCCCCACACCCTGCTGCCACCTGTACAGGGTGCTCAGCACCCCGAGCACGGTGCTGAGCACCCAGCCGGCTTGAGCCCTGTACTGTCGGTTTGCGTGTGGTGGGTGTTCTGACCTGGCCTGGGACCCCAGGGAGTCACAGAAGATTTGTGATCACCTCGGGTTAAATTAAGGTGGAACGACAACAGCTGACTGGTTCAAATGTTTTCCTAGCTGTAGAAACAGCTTAAACTTGGAAAAGGAGGGGAAGCAGTGCGGCCTCTTATTGGCAAATGCATGAGAAATTAAAGAAAGTAAAGAAAAGGGAGGCAGAGAAAAAGTCAGAGGATCTGGATCGCCAGCCCAGGGTCCAGTATTGTCTCAGCTCGGGTAATCTTGGATGGTGGGGGCAGGCCCAGCAACATTCTCTGTCACCTTATAAGTTCATCTTATCGGCTGATTTGCATACTGAACAAAGAGACAGGTATTCCATGATCTCACTTCCCTGTGAGGCAAGGGAGTTGGGTTCTGGGTGTGCACTGAGGGAGGATGGAGCACATGAACCCTTTTGTCCAGTTGAGTCAGTGGTCGACATCCCCCTTATCACCTTTACTTTTTCCTCAGTTTTTCTTTGCTGGGCAGTTTTCCAGCCTTTATTTCTTCTGGTGCCGGCTGTTTGTCTCACGTCGGATTCTTTTAGCCCTTTTTCAGGGGTACAGCTGTAAATTAAAGTGTAGGCATTAACCTGAACATGCGGTTTCGGGGCTGGGCTCCAGTGGTGGCCCTTGTGAGAAGCTGCTTGAAGACCCAGGCTCCAAGTCAGATCTGCCTCTGGCCAAGGCTGAGACAATGCGTGATGGTGGCCTCACCTACGAAATAACAGAGTTATGAGGGGGGAACCCGGGAGGAAGAGGACGGAAAAACCTCTGTAAAGAGCGAGGGTTGGGAAGAATGGAAGGAGAGGGGGAGATGCACCAGAACGGAGAGCCCATGCAAAGAAAGGAGGTCACGGGGGAGCAAATGCATCCTGCAGCCCTCGGAGGACTCCACAGGGGAGCAGGGGGCTCCACGTGAAGAAGGCCGGGACTCTGCGGGCAGCGCGGGCAGGAGTGGTGAGCTGCTGGGGGGGGTCTGTGCGTCGGTCACGGCAGTTGGTCCTGTCTCGGTTATTCCATCTCTCCCTCAAGTATTTCTGTCCCCAGTGCCTGGTTCTGGGGGGACTGGTGTGAGCGGGTTTGGGGTCATGTGCAGGAGTCAGCCTGGGGGTGGCGGCACCCCTGCTCTGTGGTGTCAGGTGCTGGAGCCATCTGGGATCCCAGTGCGGCCACTGGCGAGGGTGGAGGCCTTGCTGGAAGGGCTCCAGCAGCTGCTCAGCACGGGGCTGGGGGGCACTGGGCTGGGCTGGAGCTGCTGAAGCAGGGGGCTGCTCTTCCTCTGCCTTCAGAGCCCCGAAATGAGCCCCTTTGGTCTCCCCACAGGTGATGGGGCAGGCAAGGAGAAGGAGGAGCAGAGGGTGGTGCTGGAAGGAGCCGGAGAGGAGCCCCAGAGCCCCAAGGTGGACGGGGACCAGGATGTCCCACGGCAGCCAGGGGAGACGCAAGGTAGCCAAGAGCCAAGAGGAACCCAAAGATGCTCTTTGGAAGGGACGGGCGCTGAAGCCCATCAGGAAGAGTCAACCCAACCAAGGAGAGGATCCAGAGGGAAGGTCTGCAAGTGTCCAGAATGTGGGAAGGGCTTTGGCTGTATAAGAAACCTGAACCGTCACTGGCGGATCCACACAGGAGAGAAGCCCTACAAGTGCTTTGATTGTGGGAAGAGCTTCAGGTATAAACTGAAACTCCTCATTCACCGGCAGAGACACACCAATGAGAAGCCCTTTGTCTGCACCACGTGTGGAAAAAGTTTCTCCTTTAGCTGGTACCTTATCAAACATCAAAATGTCCACACGGAAGGGAGACCGTACGCCTGCTCGCACTGCGGGAAGACCTTCAGACATAGTTACAGCGTCAAGAGGCATCGGAGACTCCACCACGGTGGTAAGTCCTTGGAGGGCCTCAAACACATATGATGACGTGCTCAGCAAAAAAATATAGAGGAAGGCATTTGTAGGTGGGCTTGGCCTGATTTTTTCAGAAACTGGCTGGGCATACATCTCCCACTCTGTGGAGGTGAGTGATGGACCCTTCCTGCCTCCTCCTGCCCAACTTCTTCTACCCCCATGCACAAGTTTTCTTGCTTTTCCTCCTCTCTCCCCTTCCTGGGTTCCCCCACAGCGGGTGGGAGCAGCCAGCAGCCCCCCACTGCCCCATCCCGCCCTGAGCCATCTCCAGCCCTGGCCGTCCCGGGGGGTGGGGGGACTCTGGGGGGAATGGAAGTGGGGACCAAGGTTGGCCACTGATCCAAGATGAAGGACAAGGAAGAATGGAGGAGGAGGATGATGGAAGATACAGACACTCGGATCCATGGGCACCTATGCACTTGCACCCCAACATCTTTACACTCTTGTACAGCCAGGGGTGCAGGGGGGGTGCAGGGGGGGGTGGGCAGGGGCTGGCAGGTCCCGCAGGGCCCAGGCTGCTGCAGGGCTGCTGGGGGCAGGAGGGGCTGTGATCCCAGCGCCAGCACCCTCGGTGCCCAAGTCACAGGGGGGGTGGACCCCAAATCTGGTCCCCCTAATCCTTGTCTGGGTCCCCTGGACCTTCGGTTTGATTTTCTCCTGCCCAGCCCTGAGGGGGACGGGGCAAGCGAGCGGCTGCGTGGTGCTCGGGTGCCCTCTGGGCTCAAACCACGACACAGCAGTAACAGGCAAGGCTACTGGAGCCATCTGGGATCCCAGTGCGGCTACTGGTGAGGGTGGAGGCCTTGCTGGAAGGGCTCCAGCAGCTGCTCAGCACGGGGCTGGGGGGCACTGGGCTGGGCTGGAGCTGCTGGAGCAGGGGGCTGCTCTTCCTCTGCCTTCAGAGCCCCGAAATGAGCCCCTTTGGTCTCCCCACAGGTGATGGGACAGACAAGGAGAAGGAGGAGCAGAGGGTGGTGCTGGAAGGAGCCGGAGAGGAGCCCCAGAGCCCCAGGGTGGAGATGGACCAGGATGTCCCCCGGCAGCCAGGGGAGATGCAAGGTAGCCAAGAGCCAAGAGGAACCCAAAACTCTTCTTCCCACGGGACGTGTGCTGAAGATCTTCAAAAGCACGGAACCCAAACAAGCAGTATCTCCAGAGGGAAGGTCTATAAGTGTCTGGAGTGTGGGAAGGTCTTCAACTGGTGGAGCTGCCTCATCCGTCACCGGCGGATCCACACGGGAGAGAAGCCCTTCAAGTGCTTTGATTGTGGGAAGAGCTTTCGGGATGCTGGGAATCTTATGTCTCACTGGAAGACACACACCAAGGAGAAGCCCTTTCTATGCACAACATGTGGGAAATGCTTCTCATTTAGCTCACGCCTCCTCATTCACCAAATATCCCACACAGAAGAGAGACCGTACGCCTGCTCGTACTGCAAGAAGACCTTCCGGCATATTTACCACCTCAGGAGGCATCAGCAAACCGTCCGCTGTGGTGAGTCCTCATGTGCGGCGTAACGTCATAGCACGTTGTGCTCAGCAATAAAATGGAGAGGTGAGGAATCAGGGGTGGCAGTTGTCCAGATTTTGGTCATGAACTGTCTGGACATCCATCTCCCAATAGGAGTGGGTGAGTGATGGCCTTTGCATGTCTCCTGTCTGTTTTCTCCTGCCCCACTATTTTTACCTCCACCCACGGGTTTTCTCCCTTTTTTCCCCTCTTTCCCCCTTCCCGGGTTCCCCCACAGCGGGTGGGAGCAGCCAGCAGCCCCCCACTGCCCCATCCCGCCCTGAGCCATCTCCAGCCCTGGCCCTCCCGGGGGGCGGGGGGAGTTCATGGAGGAGATGAAAGCGGGGACACAGTAGGAACTACTCCTGAGTGATGCAGCAAGAATAAGGCAGCATGAGGGGGAGATATGTGGATGGAGCAGGAGCTGAAGGAGGGGACACACATACAGACACCAAGTCACCCTAAATCTGGCACCACCCATCCTTGTCTGGGTCCCCTGGACCTTCGATTTGATTTTCTCCTGCCCAGCCCTGAGGGGGACGGGGCGAGCGAGCGGCTGCGTGGTGCTCAGGTGCCCTCTGGGCTCAAACCACGACACAGCAGTAACAGGCAAGGCTACTGGAGCCATCTGGGATCCCAGTGCGGCTACTGGTGAGGGTGGAGGCCTTGCTGGAAGGGCTCCAGCAGCTGCTCAGCACGGGGCTGGGGGGCACTGGGCTGGGCTGGAGCTGCTGGAGCAGGGGGCTGCTCTTCCTCTGCCTTCAGAGCCCCGAAATGAGCCCCTTTGGTCTCCCCACAGGTGATGGGGCAGGCAAGGAGAAGGAGGAGCAGAGGGTGGTGCTGGAAGGAGTCAAAGAGGAACCCCAGAGCCCCAGGGTGGACGGGGACCAGGGTGTCCCACGGCAGCCAGGGGAGATGCAAGGTAGCCAAGAGTCAAGAAGACCCCGAAAATGCTCTTTCAAAGGGACGTATGGTGAGGAACTTCAAGAAGATGCAACCCAACAAAGGCGTAGCTCCAGAGGGAAGGTCTACAAGTGTGTGGACTGTGGGAAGAGCTTCGCCTGGAGGAACAGCATGAGACGTCATCGACAGATCCATACGGGAGAGAAGCCCTTCAAGTGCCGTATTTGTGGGAAGAGCTTCATGGAGAGTGCAACCCTCCTGTGTCACTGGAGGACCCACACCAAGGAGAAGCCCTTTCTCTGCACCACGTGTGGGAAACGGTTCGCCTGGCGCTCGGGCCTCACCATCCACCAGCGTATCCACACGGGACAGAGGCCCTACCCCTGCTCGCACTGTGGGAAGACCTTCCGGCAGACTTACCACCTCAGGAGGCATCAGGAAACCCTCCACAGTGGTGAGTCCTCAGGAGGAGCTTAGTGTGGGATGTCTCCAGTCCCTTCTGGGGCTGTGGGCTGGGATGGGCTGGCGAAGCACATGGTGGGGCTGTGCTGGGACTCCTGCTCCCAGCCTGGCAGCAGCGATGGGGTGGGAGATGTCCCTGGGGATGGGTTTGCTCTGTCCCCGGGTTGGGTTGAACTGTCGGTGGGGATAGTCCTGCTCTGAGCAGGAGGTTGGACTGGAGACCTCCAGGGACTGGAGCTGCACTGGAGGAAACTCCTCGATGCAGGGGGGTTCACGAGTCAGACTTGGGGATAGCAAATGGTCTCCAAGCACATTTTCCAGGGCCGTTCGAGGACACGGAGGCCTCTGTGCACCCCTCCTCCAGCACTGCAAATCCCCTCCTGGGCCTTCCCACCTTGAATAACCCCAGCAGATACTTGGGTTTCCCCTCCCTCCTTGGCTGTGGAGGTCCTGCTGGTGCAATGGCTTTGTCTTTCTCGAGCAGGCGCTGAGCACCCACGCGGAGCCAGGACAACCACCCCGGGTGCTGGAGGAGAAGTTGGGGAGGAAGGAGGAGCCGACACTGACGGGGCAAAGGGGTGGCAGGAAGAGAACCCATGCAGCCACGAGCAAGCTGGAGTCCAAATAAAAGTGGAGGACCCATAAATGCCCTGAGAGTGGGAAGAACTTCAGTGACTTCTCTAACCTCATCTCCCACCACAGGATCCATAATGGAGAGAGACTTTGCAAGTGCCCAGAGTTTGGGTAGTGCTTCACCCAGAAGGTGGAAGCAAAAATCCAGCCAGGACCCTGCAACAAAAATCAGGCATAGGGGGTGCTCCTTTTGTTACGCAGGTGCCCACATCCGTGTGTGTTCACACCTATCAAGGGTGTGTATATATCCCCTTATAGGAAATGGAAGAAATACCTCTCTTTTTTTGAAGTTTCTATCAAATACATGGGGTGTTCCTCATAATGTCCTTCCACTTCGTGTCCCGTTCATTGAACAGTGAAAATTTCTGGGGGTTGCACAAGGGATTGGGATGGGGGGAACTCAACCAGGCGGATGACCTGACCCAAGCAAAGAGACATTCCTGGCTGTATTGAGTGTTGCTCCACGACAAAATGGAGAGGAGGGGGCCAGGGGTGGGGGTTGGCCAGATATCGGTGAGTGATGGCCTTTGCAGCTCTTCTCCTCCTGTCTCCTGCTAATAAACTCTTTTTACTTCTTTTTACAAGCTCCCAGGTTTGTCCCTCAAGCCGAGTCGTTTCTGCGCTGGGCCAGACGCCGACATCCCCCCCGAGCAGAGGGATCTATTTATTCCTTGTTTACACATTTATACACTTTATTTATACCCTTTCTACCCCTCGGCCCACCCGAACACACCGGTGCTGGAGTGAGCAGGGCCATGTTCTGGTCGCTCTGTCCCTCTCCGGGTACCAACGGGCCTCGTCTCGATGGAAAGTCCCAGCGGCTTTTAGTTCTCCTGCGCCAGCACGAAGGGCGAGGGGGGGCCCGTCCTCCTGCTCCTCACTCGACTCGGCCGGTGGGGTCTGTCCCGCCCACTGACGCCGGTTTTTGCTCCGTGTCCCCTCTCCGAGGACCGTCCGGCCTCCGGGGCCTGTTGGGCCGGCTGTTCCCCGGTTTTTGCTCCGTGTCCCCTCTCCCAGGACCGTCCGGCCTCCGGGGCCTGTTGGGCCGGCTGTTCCCCGGTTTTTGCTCCGTGTCCCCTCTCCCAGGACCGTCCGGCCTCCGGGGCCTGTTGGACCGGCTGTTCCCCCGGTTTTTGCTCCGTGTCCCCCTCTCCCAGGACCGTCCGGCCTCCGGGGCCTGTTTGGCCGGCTGTTCCCCCGGTTTTTGCTCCGTGTCCCCCTGTCCCAGGACCGTCCGGCCTCCGGGGCCTGTTGGGCCGGCTGTTCCCCGGTTTTTGCTCCGTGTCCCCCTGTCCCAGGACCGTCCGGCCTCCGGGGCCTGTTGGGCCGGCTGTTCCCCTCCCGCCTGGCTCTCCGCTCCTCCCCAAGGGTCAGTCGGCAGCAAAGGCCCGGCCTCGCCTCAGGCTCCCACAGCCGGGCTGGGGGTTACTGGTCCCGGTGCTAATGGGGAACACTCCTGCCAGCAGCGCGATGCTGCACCCCCACACACAAAGAGAACCCCCCGCCTTAGTGGGCACCCTCGTGCTCGCCCCCCCCAACCCCCCGGCCTTGCCGGGCGCAGGGGAGCGCAGGCTGAGACCCAGAGCCCCAGACACCCCCCGGACCCCTCCCCAGCTCCTCGCACGCCTGAGCGGAGCGGGCTGGGAGCAGGGGGGTTTTGGGGGGGTACAAGGGCGGTGCAGGGGCGTGGGGGGGTGCAGGGGTTGAGGTAGGGGGGTGCAGGGGGCTGTAGGGAGGTGAAGGGGGGGTGCACGGTGGTTGCGGGGGGGTGCAGGGGGGTCCTGCCCGAAGCCCCCCGGGCCCAAACCGGAGCCGGCTCTGGGCAAGGCCGAGCCAACGAGCGACGGCGGGTGCAAGTCTGGGATAACGGATTTCAGAAGGGGAAGCCGGGAGGAAGAGGAGGGAGCAGGGAAGGAAACTCCCCTGCAAACCCCAAGGGCGGGGAAGGACGGAAGGAGCGGGGGAGGTGCGCCGGAACAGGCTCCCCTGCAAAGCATGGAGGAGGCCCACGCGGGAGCAGATGCCCCCCCGCAGCCCGGGGAGGACGCCACGGGGGAGCAGGGGGCTGCGCCCCAAGCAGGCCGGGACTCTGGGAGCGGTGTGTTGCTGGGGGGCCGGCAGCCCGTGGGAGGAGGCGGTCGGAGGGGGAGTGTGTCCCGTGGGAGGGAGCCCACGCGGGAGCAGGGGAGGAGTGCGAGGAGTCCTCCCCCTGGGGAGGAAGGGGCGGCAGAGCCGAGGGGGGAGGGAGTGATCGCCCCCCCCATCCCCTGCCCCCTGCGCCGGGGGCGGGGAGGAGGGAGAGAACTGGGGAGAGGCCTTGCTGGAAGGGCTCCAGCAGCTGCTCAGCACGGGGCTGGGGGGCACTGGGCTGGGCTGGAGCTGCTGGAGCAGGGGGCTGCTCTTCCTCTGCCTTCAGAGCCCCGAAATGAGCCCCTTTGGTCTCCCCACAGGTGATGGGGCAGGCAAGGAGATAAAGGAGGAGGAGGAGAGGCAGCCCATGGAGGAGCAGAGGGTGGTGCTGGAAGGAGTCAAAGAGGAGCCCCAGAGCCCCAGGGTGGAGATGGACCAGGATGTCCCACAGCTGCCAGGGGAGACGCAAGGTAGCCAAGAGCCAAGAGGAACCCAAAGATGCTCTTTCAAAGAGGAGCCCCAGAGCCCCAGGGTGGAGATGGACCAGGATGTCCCCCGGCAGCCAGGGGAGAGAAAAGGTAGGCGAGCGCGAAGAAGACCCCGAAAATGCTCTTTCAAAGGCTCATACGCTTCATACCTTCAAGAAGACTCAACCCAACCAAGGAGTAGCTCCAGAAAGAAGGAACACAAGTGCCTGGTGTGTGGGAGGGTCTTCAACTGGCAGTGCAGGCTGACGACTCACCAACGGATCCACAGGCTGGACAATCCCTTCAAGTGTGAGTATTGCTGGAAGACCTTCAAGGATGAAATCACACTCCGGCGTCACCAGCGGACACACACCAGGGAGAAGCCCTTTCTCTGCACCACGTGTGGGAAACACTTCAGCTTTCGCTCGTGCTTCATCGCCCACCAACTCATGCACACCGGAGAGAGACCGTACGCCTGCTCACAGTGTGGGAAGAGATTCCAGTTTAATTACCACCGTAAGAGGCATCAGAAAGCGTTGCACGGTGGTGAGTCCCCAGGGGGCCTTAACCAAGTATTGTGTCATGCTCAGGAATAAATTGGAGAGGAGGGGGTTTGGGGGCAGGGTTTGGCCAGATTTTGTTCAGGAACTGTGGGTGCGTCCATCTCCCCATTGACTGGGGTGAGCCTTTGCATGTCTTCTGTTTGTCTCCTCCTGCCCAACACTTTTTCTCTGCATCCACAGGTTTTCTTGGTCTTCCTCTTCTTTCCCCCTAACCCAGGTTCCCCCACGGCGGGTGGGAGCAGCCAGCAGCCCCCCACTGCCCCATCCCGCCCTGAGCCATCTCCAGCCCTGGCCCTCCCGGGGGGTGGGGGGAGTTTGGGGGAGACGGAGGTGTGGAGGGAGGGGGGGAGCTGGGCCAGTGTTTAAATGGAGGGTGAGGTGTGGAGGGTGCAGACAAAGAGGGGAAAGAAAGTGTCGCACACACAAACTCACGCACATCCCCCAGACACTTGCACACCCTTCCTCTTGCACACTTTTGCAAATCAAAAAGACGTCACACCCACGCCCAGGCAGCCCCCGATGCCTTCAGCCACAAAGAGAGCCATGGGCACCCGTGCACCTGCACCCCGTCCCCTTGCACACGTGTGCACTATGGGGGGGGGTGGGCAGGGGCTGGCAGGTCCCGCAGTGCCCAGGCTGCTGCAGGGCTGCTGGGGGCAGGAGGGGCTGTGATCCCAGTGCCATCACCCTCGGTGCCCAAGTCACAGGGGGGGTGGACCCCAAATCTGGTCCCCCCCATCCTTGTCTGGGTCCCCTGAACCTTCGATTTGATTTTCTCCTGCCCAGCCCTGAGGGGGACGGGGCAAGCGAGCGGCTGCGTGGTGCTCGGGTGCCCTCTGGGCTCAAACCACGACACAGCAGTAACAGGCAAGGCTACTGGAGCCATCTGGGATCCCAGTGCGGCTACTGGCGAGGGTGGAGGCCTTGCTGGAAGGGCTCCAGCAGCTGCTCAGCACGGGGCTGGGGGGCACTGGGCTGGGCTGGAGCTGCTGGAGCAGGGGGCTGCTCTTCCTCTGCCTTCAGAGCCCCGAAATGAGCCCCTTTGGTCTCCCCACAGGTGATGGGACAGACAAGGAGAAGGAGGAGCAGAGGGTGGTGCTGGAAGGAGCCAGAGAGGAGCCCCAGAGCCCCAAGGTGGACGGGGACCAGGATGTCCCACGGCTGCCAGGGCAGACGCGAGGTACCCAAGAGCCAAGAGGAACCCGAAAATGCTCTTTCAAAGGGACGTATGCTGAAGAACTTCAAGAAGACTCAACCCAACCAAGGAGTAGCTCCGGAGAGAAGGAGCACAAGTGCCCGGAATGTGGGAAATTTTTTACCTGTGCGAGAAACCTGAACCGTCACCTGCGCCTCCACACAGGAGAGAAGCCCTTCAAGTGCCAGGACTGTGGGAAGAGCTTCAGGGATAGTACAAATCTTATATCCCACCAGAACACACACATGAAGGAGAAGCCCTTTCTCTGCACCACATGTGGGAAACGCGTCTCCAGTAGGTCATGCCTCATCAAACACCAACGCATCCACATGAGAAAGAAACAGTTCTCCTGCTCACAGTGTGTGAGGACCTTCTCGAGAAGATCTGACCTGCTGTATCATCAACAAGCCCACCACAATGGTGAGTCACTGGCAGGAGCTGAACCCCCCATCACGCTGTGGTCAGCTATAAAATAGAGGGGAGGCAGTTTGGGAGTGGGGCTTGGTCAGATTTCAGTCATGAACAGGCTGGGCATCCATCCCTGCATGGCTGAGTGTAACTGATGGCCCCTTTCTGCCTCCTCAACTATTTTTACCTCCACCCACGGGTTTTCTCCCTTTTTTCTCCTCTTTCCCCCTTCCCGGGTTCCCCCACGGCGGGTGGGAGCAGCCAGCAGCCCCCCACTGCCCCATCCCACCCTGAGCCATCTCCAGCCCTGGCCCTCCCGGGGGGTGGGGGGAGTTTGGGGGGGATGGAAGTGGGGAGGGAGGGGGGAGCTGGGCCAGGGTGGAGGAGGAGGAGGGATGGAGGAGGATCAGGAGGATACACACACTCCGAGCCGTGGGCAGCCGTGCACTTGCACCCCCATCTCTTTACACACTTGTGCACCGCAGGCAGGGGCTGGCAGCTCCCACAGCTGATAAGGATGCCCGGCTGGAGCGGGGGCTGTGCGTGCGCAGGAGGTGATGAGCAGGGAAGGGGGGCAGGAGGAGGAAAGGGTGTAAAAGGGTCTGGCGGCGTAGTACAAGGGGGTGGGTCTGTGCGTCGGTCACGGCAGTTGGTCCTGTCTCGGTTATTCCATCTCTCCCTCAAGTATTTCTGTCCCCAGTGCTGGGTCCTGGGGGGACTGGGAAGGAGGAGGAGAGGCAGCCCATGGAGGAGCAGAGGGTGGTGCTGGAAGGAGCCGGAGAGGAGCCCCAGGGTGGACGGGGACCAGGATGTCCCACGGCAGCCAGGGGAGACGCAAGGTAGCCAAGTGTCAGTAGAACCCCAAAAATTCTCTTTCAAAGGGACGTATGCTGAAGACCTTGAAGAAGATGCAGCCCAATCAAGGAGTAGCTCCAGAGATGAGGTCTACAAGTGTCTGGAATGTGGGAAGGTCTTCAGTTCTGGAAACAACTTGAGATATCACCGACGCATCCACATAGGAGTGAAGCCCTTCAAGTGCTTGGATTGCGGGAAGAGCTTTAGGAGCAGTGTGAACCTCGTGCATCACTGGAGGACACACACCAAGGAGAAGCCCTTTGTCTGCACCACGTGTGGGAAACGCTTCAGCTTTAGCTCAGATGTCGTCAAACACCAACTCATCCACACCGGAGAGCTCCCGTACGTCTGCTCACACTGCGGGAAGAAATTCTGGAAGAAGTGCGACCTCCGGAGGCATCAGCAAACCTTCCACGCAGGCGAGTTCTCACTGGGGGCTTAACCCCATGTCACGTTGTGCTCAGCAGTAAAGTGGAGAGGAGTGGATTTGGTGTGAGAGTTGGGCAGATATTGAACCTGAACTGTCTGGGCATCTGTTACGAGCCGGGCTGGGAACCCAAGGAGTCACAAAGGTTCTGTGATCTCCTCCCGTTAAATTAAGGTGAAACAACACCATATGACTAGTTAAAATGTTTTACTTGTGGTAGAAACTACATAAAATGGGAAAAGGAAGGTAAGCAGTGTGGCTTCTTATTGATAAATGTATAAGAAATAGAAGAAAGAAAATAAGGAGGAAAGGAGAGGTCAGAAGTCCGGTTCACCATTCCAAGTTCCAGTGTTGTTTCAGGTCCAGTAATCTTAGGTGGTTGCAGCACACCCAGCAACATTCTCTGTCACCTTTTAAGTTTATTTTACTGGCTGATTTGCATACTAGACAAAGAGAAGCAGGTATTCCATGAACTCATTTCAAGGAGAAATGAGGAAAAGGTGGAGGATGGGTTCTGGGTATGGGTTGAAGGGGGATGAGGTACACCGACCCCCTTGTCCAGTTGAGTCAGTGGTCATGCTCCCCTCTATCACCTTCCTCAGTTTTTTTTTTTCCTTGGGTAATTGTCCAGCATAAGCTTATCAGTCTTTTTACCCCTTTTCAAGAGTATAGCTGTAAATTAAATGCAGCCATTAACCTGAACTTATGGCTGTGCTCAAGGCTGTGTCTCCTGCCTTTGAGGCTTATCTAAGGGATTTGGCACTGCCTCAGCAGGGAAGTGGAGCCCTGGGCCCTTCCATACACCCCCTGATGAGCTCTTCAGACTAATCCCAAAGGCCACATCTGGTCCTTGAGGCTTTTTTTTTTGTTTGAGGAATGTTTGAGGCATTAACTCCTTCAGTTCCCTAGAGCATCCATATCCCCATGGGGGGTGGTGAGTGATGGCCTTTTCATGTCTTCTGTTTGTCTTGTCGTCTCTTCTCCTCCTGCCCCACTATTTTTACCTCCACCCACAGGTTTTCTCCCTTTTTCCCCTCTTTCCCCCTTCCCAGGTTCCCCCACGGCGGGTGGGAGCAGCCAGCAGCCCCCCACTGCCCCATCCCGCCCTGAGCCATCTCCAGCCCTGGCCCTCCCGGGGGGTGGGGGGAGTTTGGGGGGATGGAAGTGGGGAGGGAGGGGGGAGCTGGGCCAGGGTGGAGGAGGAGGAGGGATAAAGGAGTAAGGATGAAAATGAGGAAGAGTATGATGGAGGACAAAGAGCAGGAAGATACACACACACTCAGAGCCATGGGCACCTGTACACCTGCACCCCGTCCCCTTGCACACGTGTGCACTACGGGGGGGGGCGGGCAGGGGCTGGCAGGTCCCGCAGGGCCCAGGCTGCTGCAGGGCTGCTGGGGGCAGGAGGGGCTGTGATCCCAGCGCCAGCACCCTCGGTGCCCAAGTCACAGGGGGGGTGGACCCCGAATCTGGTCCCCCCCATCCTTGTCTGGGTCCCCTGAACCTTCGATTTGATTTTCTCCTCCCCAGCCCTGAGGGGGATGGGGCGAGCGAGCGGCTGCGTGGTGCTCAGGTGCCCTCTGGGCTCAAACCACGACACAGCAGTAACAGGCAAGGCTACTGGAGCCATCTGGGATCCCAGTGCGGCTACTGGCGAGGGTGGAGGCCTTGCTGGAAGGGCTCCAGCAGCTGCTCAGCACGGGGCTGGGGGGCACTGGGCTGGGCTGGAGCTGCTGGAGCAGGGGGCTGCTCTTCCTCTGCCTTCAGAGCCCCGAAATGAGCCCCTTTGGTCTCCCCACAGGTGATGGGACAGACAAGGAGATAAAGGAGGAGGAGGAGAGGCAGCCCATGGAGGAGCAGAGGGTGGTGCTGGAAGGAGTCAAAGAGGAGCCCCAGAGCCCCAAGGTGGAGATGGACCAGGATGTCCCACGGCTGCCAGGGGAGACACACGGTAGCCAAGAGCCAAGAGGACCCCGAAAATGGGATACCGGACTATGATGGTGGAGGGATGAGCCACTCTCACCGACAGCTCAGGGACTATTTTATGCCGGGGAAGGAGATGCTGCCGATGGGGTAAATCGCAGCAAAAAGTCTCAAGCAGTTTGAAGGAAGCAAAATTCCAGCCAGGACCCTGCAATAAAAATCAAGCATAGGGGATGCTCTTTTTGTTATGTAGCTGCAGGCTTACGTGTGTATTTTATATACACACGTATCAAAGGATTGTATATGTCTCCTTAGAGTAAAAAGAAGACAGTTTTTTTTCTTTTAAGTTTCTGTCAAATAAATTGGGTTTTGCTGATAATGTCTTTCTGTCTGCGCAGTGAGGGGTGCCGGGGGCGCTTCCACCCCGCTCCACCCCGCACCAAAGCACTTCAGTGTATTTCTACCCCTCGGCCCACCCGAACACACCGGTGCTGGAGTGAGCAGGGCCACGTTCTGGTCGCTCTGTCCCTCTCCGGGTACCAACGGGCCTCGTCTCGATGGAAAGTCCCAGCGGCTTTTAGTTCTCCTGCGCCAGCACGAAGGGCGAGGGGGGGCCCGTCCTCCTGCTCCTCACTCGACTCGGCCGGTGGGGTCTGTCCCGCCCACTGACGCCGGTTTTTGCTCCGTGTCCCCCTCTCCGAGGACCGTCCGGCCTCCGGGGCCTGTTGGGCCGGCTGTTCCCCGGTTTTTGCTCCGTGTCCCCTCTCCCAGGACCGTCCGGCCTCCGGGGCCTGTTGGGCCGGCTGTTCCCCCGGTTTTTGCTCCGTGTCCGCTCTCCGAGGACCATCCAGCCTTTGGGGCTTTCTGGGGCTGGGTGTTCCCTCTTATCAGTCTTTTTAGCTGCTCCTCAAAGATAGAGTCAGTAGCACAACATGCATTTTTTTCTGCAAAGTTGGATAACTCCCTTATCTCCTGGTTCCTTTTTTTGATTTATCACTCTTAAATCAGTGACTGACCCTGTCATTGTCTTGTTTACAAGTTCTGGTTTCCTCAGAATGAGCAGGCTAGAAAATTTCCTAGAGAAATCATTCCCTCCTTTGGTATTCTGACTCTCCTTTCTGCGAGTCTCATAAGTCTCACTATTTCTTTTTTTTTTAATATTTTATATGTTCCAGTTGTGGTCTGTATAAGCCATTTCTTTATACAACTTCAAGCTTTGCAAATTGTAACTGTTACTATCGTGATTTCAATTAAGTTTTGAAGTAAGCTTGCTAGCTAGCCTGTAAGGGAGAAGCCAATCCATGTAGTATTCTGTCCAAACATCCCGTGTCTATCGTGGCGTTGAGATCACGGCTTGATTTCACTGCCTGTTCCATTTTATCCAAGCACCTCCCTAAACCATCGGTAACACTGGGGATGTGAACTCAGCAGTCTTTGTCATTTAGATTTAAATATCCCCATGCTCCTGCCCTCACATTAGGTCTAATGCTTGGCTGTTTTGTAAATTCATTGTAGATGTGGCTTGTAATTGGAGATTTAATTCCTGTAGTCCCGTCTTGGATGCATCAGCTAATACTTTTATTTGTCCTGTTCAGTTGTACAAAACCAGCGGATTTTGGAATGACATAGTCTGTGGTGGCCTAAAAATCGCTTCTAGGCTCCACCATACCTCAGTCCCAGTAGAAGGGTTTTTCCAGGCACCTGAGTTACCTCGTTTCCATTTTCCCCAGAATTGGGAGCCTAGGGACTTTGTTCTCCCTAGGAGACACAGGGATGACATAGCTAGGGCTTGTGGCTGCATTCCCTTATAGGGAACTGGGCGGCCCAGGATCCATCACTACTGACCCGTTCTGTGTATCCCCTTGAAGGCACTGTTCCCTTTTCACAGCTAAAAGGGCTCCCTTTCACTACAGCGTTAGTCCAAGTACCACTGATGTGAGCAGTGGAATTACTGCAGTTATAGCCTAGTCATAAAGCTCTGGCAACTGGCACTGATTGTCGAAGTTTATAATCCTCTGTAGAACACTTAAAAATTTGAGTACAGTTCCATTGAGGATGTTGATTTCTCTTGGAAAAAGAAGTGTCCCCCTGTCCACACCACAAAATATAAATGGTTGAACTGGTGTATCCAGTGGGAGAGAGACCTTTTGATTCAGGTACCTGTGCAGTGAAGACAAAGTCTGAGAAAGAAAAATCAAGTCTTCTTTAGTATCAACCTGCCCTTTGCTGTGCAATTGGTCTCCCTTAGCAATCAAGAGGTTCCCAGGATATGCTTTTCCGTACACAATTTCAAAAGGACATCTTCTCTGACCCTAGGTGTTACTCGCATTGGTAAAAGAGCTAAAGCTTGGGCTTCTGCCCATTTCAGATGTGCTTCTGCTTCCTGACAGAGTTTGGAGATTTCTCTTTTGATTGTTCAATTTGCTCTCTACTTTTCCACAGACTGAGGCTGCGAGGGGGTCTGTAATTCCCACTTAATCTGTAAAAACTGAGAAATTCCCTGTAATACTCCTGCAAAAGAGTGAGGCCCATTAAGAGAGGAGATACCTTCTGTAATACCAAACCTAGGTATAATTTCTTTTAACAAGACCTTAATTACTACTTTAGCCTTGTTGGTATAGCAAGGAAAAGCCTCTGGCCAACCTGAAAAGGCATCTATAAATACCAACAAATATCTATATTGGTTGCATCTAGGTAATTCCCAAAAATCTATTTGCCAGTATTCCCCAGGAGTGATTCCTCACCTCACAATTCCTCCCATAATCTTTCTCATTTTGGGGTGTTATTGGCGCAACCGCTGGCACATTTCTTCACCTCAGGATCTGCTCTATTCATCTGCTCCTGCACGGTGTAACTTTTTAAGCAAGATTTCCACCATTTTCTCAGGAATCAGTAATTGTTTCAGTGGCATAATCCACCAACCTTGATCCTTTTTGGAACAGTCTAACTGTACGGCCAACTGGTTCTGCGTTTCAGTATGTTTTGGGGGTGTTGGTTCCAAGAAGGATCTGAGAATCAGAGCCCCCTCTAAGTTTGGCTCTTTCAGGGCTGCTTCCTTAGCTCGTCGATCTGCTTTTCGATTCGGCTCTTTCCTTTTTGATGTGCTTTGCAATGCATTACCGCAAGTGCCTTTGGCTGGAGAACTGCTTGCAAGAGTTCCACAATCTCGGGCCCGTATTTTACTGGAGTCCCTTGTGAATTTAACAGTCCCCTTTCTTTCCGAATTGCCCCATGTGCATGTACTACTCCAAATGCGTATTTAGAGTTGGTGTATATATTGATTCTCTTTCCATGACTTAGTTCTAGAGCTTGAGTTAATGTTAAATTCTGCCTTCGGAGCAGATGCATTATCAGGCAGGGCTCTAGCTTCCAGTGTTTGGGCATTTGTTATCCCTGCATATCCAGCTCTTCTCCTTCCCTCCAGCACGGAGCTGTTGCCATCAGTGAGAGCTCCGCTGATGCGTCGAACAGGCCTTCGTCCCCTAGAGCTGGCCTGCTGGAATACATTGGTTCAACAGTGCTTAAACCACCATGTTGCAGTTCATCAGGCTCAGAGGTTGGGAGTAAGGTGGCAGGATCCGAGGTGGGGGTCAAAGACGGTGTAACATCATCTTGTTCTGATAAGACAGCCTGATATTTAGCGAGTCTACTCGGGGAAATCCAGTGGTGTCCCTTATTGTCAAGGAGGGGTGACACAGCATGAGGTGGAGACATGGCAACTGGCTGACACGTCTCTACCTCATGCTAGTGTCAGTTTTTGGGATTCTTCAATCAGGATTCTGGGCTCAGCTACTGCCCTCAAGCAAGCGGGCCACCCTTCACTGACCTCATCCAGTTGGTTGGAGAAATACCCTGCTGGTCTCTTGTCATTTCCGAATTTCTGTGTTAGTACCCCCCGTGCTACTTGCTGTCTCTTGTGTACATAGAATTGAAAGGGTTTTTTACATTCAGTTGTCCCAAAGCAGGGCCTTCCATCAGCTTTCTCTTGATCTCATCACAGCTTTCGCCGCACACTCTGCTGTCCATTCGAATGTTTCTTCAAGTCCTTTTGTGGCAACACCCAGTGATTTGGTGTCGTGGTTTAGGCCCAGCCAAGGACCAGGCGGCTGCTCACTCACCCCTCCCCTCCCAGGCAGGATGAGGAGGAGAATCAGAAGGAAAAAAAAGTAAAACCCCGTGGGTTGAGATAAGGATAGTTTAATCGAACAACACAAGAAGAGAAGAAAATGCTAACAGCAGTACCAATAAAACTAATATATAAAACGAGTGATGCATAATGCAATTGCTCACCACTTGGCCCCACATGCTCAGTCCCTTTCCAAGCCACGATCACCCCCGTTACCCCTGGCCAGTTCCCCCAGTAATATACTGAGCAGGACACCAGCATGACCGTTGAATATCCCCTGGGTTGGTTGGGGTCACCTGTCCTGGCTGCGCTCCCTCCCAGCTTCTTGTGAAAATGAACCCTGCCCTAGCAGAGCCCAGGACACCATCCACCCCTCACTCTACACCATCAACATCACGCCCAGATCCTACACTTTCCAATTATTTACCACCCCTTTTTCTCTGTCCTTGATACATATATATGCACATATAGATGTTTATACACCAGAGGGATATCACTGCCCTAGTCTACGGGCCCTACCTCTAACGTGCCCATTGAACTCATTCACGCCACGACTCCATCGGTCGTACCAGTGTCTCAGGGCAGGAGAGGTGGTGTGTGCTGTTGGGCTGGTGCACGCTGCAGCCGGAGCTCGTGGCTGGTGTGTTTGGTGCGGCCCGTACCCAGGGTCTGTGGGTTGGAGGTGTTGATCTTGAGGAAGTTGCTGGGCGCCGGTTGCTGAAGCCAATTCAAGTTCATCACTGCTACGCTTCATTCTTCATTGATTTGGGTGACTCTTACTGGAATATCATTTATATGGCACACAGCAACTGCGGTAGTGATGATGCACAGTGTCAGTATTTTGCAATTAACATCGTAGAATTTAATTCACTGGCTCCGCCCAGCCAAAACCAAATCCCCTCGAGGTACACCTCGAACTTCCCCCCCCCCCCCCCCCGCATCGCCCACTGAGTGCACCCAGATGCCTGAGCCAAAACAATCCCACAAATGGGTTTGCTTTTGCCCGAGGCAGGGCTAACCCAGACTGTCTTCCTTAACAGATTCTTTTTGTGCACTACAAGAACTTTATTCCCATCTACATTACATGGAAGTTTTGACTGGGCAGGGCCAGATCGATTGGTAGCTCCTCGACTGTTCATTAACCAGGTGGCTTTTGCTAAAGGTGTACCCCAATGTTTAAAGGTCACAGCCCTGCCATTTTTCTCGGTGTAGTTTTTAACAGTCTGCTGTATTGCTGAATTATCCCAGCGGCTGGGGCATGATCAGGGAGGTGATATTGTAAGGAACTGAAGGAGTTAGTGACTCAAACATCCATCCATGCAGAGAACCTCAAGGACAAGTTATGCCCTTTGTGATTAGCCCAAGGAAATGGGGAGTGTACTGAAGGATGCACAGCTCCACTCCCTTGCAGCTGTATGTCCAAATTCCTTAGATAAGCATCAAAGGAAGGAAACGCAGCCTGAGTGAAACCAGATGTTCAGTCTGAGTGAAACGATATGTTCTGCCTAAAAGACTGATAAGAGAGAGAAACATCAGGCACCAGACCAGCCTCTCTTTGTCTAGGGCGCACATCGGCCAATAAGATGAACTGAAAAGGCAACAGAAAACTTCGCTGTGTGTGCACCCACCACCGGACGTTACAGGACCTGACACAACGCTGGAACCTGGGGTGGTGATCCAGCTCCATCGACTCTTTCTCTCCCTTCATTTTCTTTTACTTCTTTTCTTTTCTTTCTCACATATTTATCAAAAAGAGGCCCATTCCTTATTATCCCTTTTCTGAGTTTAAGTTGTTTCTACCGTAACTAAGACGTTTAAACTGGTCGCTCAGTGTCATTTCACCTTCTGAGTCCCACACCCAGTAGGAAAGTACAACCCTGCCGGGCTGTGCTGCCCCGAGGATTCACGAATAGCTCCCCTGGCTCGGGAAGGTACTCACCAAAGAACGGGAAGAACAGCAAGGTAAGAATCCCTCTGGCACACGGGTGCCATATGTGGGTGATACAATTTTGGGAACCAGAACTGAACAGGAATATCAGATTGCCACGATTGCCTCCTGCGGTTTCCTGGGGCAAGCGGGATACCACATCTGCTAGAAAAGGGCCCAGATATCCCAGATAGGCCCCGATTTGAGTCTATGGATAAAGGAACTCTTAGGGATTTTAGTTACAATAATAATTGTGTTTGTATGCTTTGTATCCATCCAGTGGACCTGGAGATGTTGCTTATGGTTGGGTGAACAAACTGTGGAAAACCTGAGTCTTACCTGGATGAATTTAAGTTCTCTAGATAGTTTAAAAGGAGGGAATCGTCGCCCTATAAATGTTTCTTATCAAGCTCAAGGACCGCTGATCACTGGCCCTGCTGTGTAAGACTGAGACGATCCAGGCCTTGCTAATGACTTCACCACTGAAGAGGAGCTGAGAGACTGCCAGGAGGGGAACATCCAGCCCCAGAAGGCCCCAAAGGCTGAATAATTTGCCCAAGAAGCACGAAGTCAGCAAAAATCTGCGGTAACTGGTGGAAAAGTAAAGGTGGCAGGGGGAGATTATGAACACTGACTCAATTCAAGACTGGAAAACTTACCCCCCACCTCACCTGGAGGGAGCACCGGTGCTTATTTACACAACAAGGCTAATTTAAATGTAACTGACCCATAGAAGATCAAATGGTAATTATGGACCAATGAGTGTAAATTTACAGGTTTCTACTAATCATGTAATAGGATAAATGGGCTGTACTCTCTTTACATACCCCACTAGCATTGGGGAACTACGCCCCAGCACCCGTCTTTGTGCAACTATGGAATAAACTGGTATCTGGGCTCCGTGTGTGAGACTGGCTTTTGCACAGCAGATAACAAACCCTGTTTGGGGGACAACAACTGTGGGGGTCCACACGCTTGTAAGGAGCTGAGGGTGCAAGTGCACGCGCGCCCTGAGCTCTGCCTGTGTGTCCGCTCTTCCTACTCCACCACTCTCCTCCTCCTTCATCCTTCCTCGTCCTGCTCCTTCTCCGTCCTTCCCCCTCCCTCAACCCTCCTCCTCCTTCGCCCTGAACCAGCACCCACACTTGGTCCCCACTTTAACCCCCCCTGCCCCCAAAACTCATCCCATCTCCAGGGAAGGCCAGGGATTCGACGCCACCAGGAAATTTTCTATTCTACTCATTCTGAACTTGTAAACAAGACAATGACAGGCTCAGTCACTGATTTAAGAGTGATAAATCAAAAAAAGGAACCAGGAGATAAGGGAGTTATCCAACTTTGCAGAAAAAAATGCATGTTGTGCTACTGACTCTATCTTTGAGGAGCAGCTAAAAAGACTGATAAGAGGGAACACCCAGCCCCAGAAAGCCCCAAAGGCTGGACGGTCCTGGGACAGGGGGACACGGAGCAAAAACCGGGGGAACAGCCGGCCCAACAGGCCCCGGAGGCCGGACGGTCCTGGGAGAGGGGACACGGAGCAAAAACCGGGGGAATAGCCGGCCCAACAGGCCCCGGAGGCCGGACGGTCCTCGGAGAGCGGACACGGAGCAAAATCCGGGGAACAGCCGGCCCAACAGGCCCCGGAGGCCGGACGGTCCTGGGACAGGGGGACACGGAGCAAAAACCGGGGAACAGCCGGACCAACAGGCCCCGGAGGCCGGACGGTCCTCGGAGAGGGGGACACGGAGCAAAAACCGGGGAACAGCCGGCCCAACAGGCCCCGGAGGCCGGACAGTCCTCGGAGAGGGGACACGGAGCAAAAACCGGGGGAACAGCCGGACCAACAGGCCCCGGAGGCCGGACAGTCCTGGGAGAGGGGACACGGAGCAAAAACCGGGGAACAGCCGGTCCAACAGGCCCCGGAGGCCGGACGGTCCTGGGACAGGGGACACGGAGCAAAAACCGGCGTCAGTGGGCGGGAGAGACCCCACCGGCCGAGTCGAGTGAGGAGCAGGAGGACGGGCCCCCCCTCGCCCTTCGTGCTGGCGCAGGAGAACTAAAAGCCGCTGGGACTTTCCATCGAGACGAGGCCCGTTGGTACCCGGAGAGGGACAGAGCGACCAGAACGTGGCCCTGCTCACTCCAGCACCGGTGTGTTCGGGTGGGCCGAGGGGTAGAAATACACTGAAGTGCTTTGGTGCGGGGTGGAGCGGGGTGGAAGCGCCCCCGGCACCCCTCGCTGCGCATTTAGGGAATAAAAGAAGTACCTCAACCCTTTGTGTGTTGGCTTGAGCACCGGGTGGAAGAACCCTCCCGTTGGGATGAGATTTGGGCCTCCCCGATGGGATGGCCACACCTTGCCCGGGTTGTCTGGTCAGTCCCGGCGCTGGGGCTGGTTGTCGAGACCTGCAACTCGCCGTGCAACTCCCAGCTATGGTGTTTTGTGGAACAGGGGCGGGGAGCTTGGGATTTGCAGGCAAGGAGCCACCATTACAGAAGAAGAGAAAAAAAGACAACAATTATCGGCCAGGTGGGTCGGAGCTGTTTGCTGTGGTAGACTGTTCAAAGGTCTACAGCAATAAGGGCAAGGGAATTGGGTAATATCATTTGGTAAGCAAAGATGGGTGCAGCCTCCTCTACCACAACTTCTCCTTGCACCCTCTTGGGGTATATTTTGAAAAGCTGAAAAAGTTTGGAGATCCTCTAATTTAAATTAAGAATGAAACTATACTGGAATCAGTGGTAGCCACTATATTTGTTGGAGCATGGGGAAAGTGGCCTGAAGGGGACTCTTTAAACATATAACACTGTATTACAGCTAATGTTGTTTTTTAAACTTGTGGGAAAATGGGATGAAGTACCACATGTGGATGGGTTTATGACTTTAAGGACTGATTACGGTACTAGAAGGAAATGCAAATTGCTAAATATGTATGACAGGGGGAACGGGAGATATATATATATAAAGGTGGAGAAAAGGTGGAAAAAGCCCATCCATTGAGGAAGACAGTAATTCCAACTTGTAACCCAAACTCTGAAGATATGCAGGTGCTTTTTGATGCTTTGTTCACAGCTGAGGGCAAACGAAAGGTGTCGGAAGGGGCTGGAAAGGAGAAAGAAAGGAGAGAGATCCCTGGGAAGAATGAGCTTGGTGTTCCTACTGATCAGAAACCAGACTTGACCCAAACACAGCGGAGGGAATGATGGTTATCCAAAGGCACAGGGACTTGACATTCCATGGCATAAAAAAAATGTGGTGCTGAAACAAAAGAATCTATTGAAGGCATATGAAATTAGACAAGGACCAGATGAAACCCCGCCTGCCTTCTATGAGCAGATATGAGAATCAGCGTATAAATGGACAGATTTTGACCCAGGTGAGGAGAATAATAGGGAAATGTTTAATGGCTGATTTATGGCGCAATCAGCACCAGATATAAAAAAGAAAGTGATTAAGACTGAAGGAGCAGAAGGGAAACCCACTGCGGAATTAACAGAAAGAGCTTACAAAGTCTGTAATAATAGGGAGGATAGGGAAAAGGAAGATAGGGTCAGGCAAAGGCCCAGGCATCCATGTCAGCAATGGCTCTCGCTGGGGTTCTAGCAAACAATGGCCTAAGTACTGGGAACAGAGGTACAGGGGGAGGAAGGAGAATGGGACAAGGAGGTAGACAAGGAACAGTCTCTGGAAAACAGATTCTGAGACCACCCGTGGGACCTAATCAGTGTGCCACTTGTAAGCAAGGAGGACATTGGAAAAATAAATGTCCTACTGTGAAGGGGAACTCAAATCCGATGGAAGACATTAATGTTACGATGTTGGAAGAGGATCTAGAATGAGGGGAACTGGCAGACATCTTCAGAAATTCCCCAGCTGATCCCCTGGTTCCAGTCAAGCCGAGGGGTTAAATGCTTGACTTCTTAATTGATGGTGGAACAACTCATTCTGTCCTGCCTAGCTGTAAGGGACCTTCAAGCAAATCATCAATTCCGGCTGTTGATGATCAGTCAGGCCTTTTTTTAAAAGCAGTGGAACATGTGAGCGGTGGTACCAAATGAACCCATGAGTTTCTTTCTTTGCCGGAGCGCCCATTGCCACTACGAGGACAGGACTCGCTTTGTAAACTTTGTGAAAGTTCAGTTAAAATGCACATTCCCCCAGAAACGGCATGGAAAGCACCGACACGCCTGCTGGCAGACTTGGGACCAGATTTGGGGTCCACCCCCGCTGTGACTTGGGCACCGAGGGTGCTGGCGCTGGGATCACAGCCCCTCCTGCCCCCAGCAGCCCTGCAGCAGCCTGGGCACTGCGGGACCTGCCCGCCCCTGCCCACCCCCCCTGCACCCCCCCTGCCCCCCCGGCTGTGCTGCACAAGTGTGCAAGGAGCTGAGGTAGAAGTTCACGGGTGCCCATGGCTCTGCCTGGTTTTATCTTCCTGCTCTTCCTCCTACTCCTCCATCCCTCCTCCTCCTCCACCCTGGCCCAGCTCCCCCCTCCCTCCCCACTTCCATCCCCCCCAAACTCCCCCCACCCCCCGGGAGGGCCAGGGCTGGAGATGGCTCAGGGCGGGATGGGGCAGTGGGGGGCTGTTGTCTGCTCCCACCCGTGGGGGAACCCGGGAAGGGGGAAAGAGGAGGAAAGGCAAGAAAACCCGTGGGTGGATGTTGACAAGAGTTTAACAGGACGAGACAGGAGGAGGAGCAGTGATGCGAAGGCCACCAGCAACTGAAATGTGCCTGACCCCCCCCCGCCAGGCACCCTCCTCTCTACACAGCCCGGGTGCGGCCGGCTGGGTGCTGAGCACCGCGCCCAGGGTGCTGAGCACCCCGCCGAGGCGGCAGCAGGGTGCGGGGGGGCCGGGGGAAGGCGGCTCAGCCCCGTCCCACCGCACCCAGCCCCGGGGGGGGCCGGGGGGGGCCAGATTCAGGGGCCGTGCTGGGATGGGTGCGATGGGGTTCGGTAGCGGGGTTGGGGGGGGCAGGGGGGTCCTGCCCGAAGCCCCCCGGGCCCAAACCGGAGCCGGCTCTGGGCAAGGCCGAGCCAACGAGCGACGGCGGGTGCAAGTCTGGGATAACGGATTTCAGAAGGGGAAGCCGGGAGGAAGAGGAGGGAGCAGGGAAGGAAACTCCCCTGCAAACCCCAAGGGCGGGGAAGGACGGAAGGAGCGGGGGAGGTGCGCCGGAACAGGCTCCCCTGCAAAGCATGGAGGAGGCCCACGCGGGAGCAGATGCCCCCCCGCAGCCCGGGGAGGACGCCACGGGGGAGCAGGGGGCTGCGCCCCAAGCAGGCCGGGACTCGGGGAGCGGTGTGTTGCTGGGGGGCCGGCAGCCCGTGGGAGGAGGCGGTCGGAGGGGGAGTGTGTCCCGTGGGAGGGAGCCCACGCGGGAGCAGGAGCCGAGGGGGGAGGGAGTGATCGCCCCCCCCATCCCCTGCCCCCTGCGCCGGGGGCGGGGAGGAGGGAGAGAACTGGGGAGAGGCCTTGCTGGAAGGGCTCCAGCAGCTGCTCAGCACGGGGCTGGGGGGCACTGGGCTGGGCTGGAGCTGCTGGAGCAGGGGGCTGCTCTTCCTCTGCCTTCAGAGCCCCGAAATGAGCCCCTTTGGTCTCCCCACAGGTGATGGGGCAGGCAAGGAGATAAAGGAGGAGGAGGAGAGGCAGCCCATGGAGGAGCAGAGGGTGGTGCTGCAAGGAGTCAAAGAGGAGCCCCAGAGCCCCAGGGTGGAGATGGACCAGGATGTCCCACGGCTGCCAGGGGAGACAAAAGGTAGGCGATCGGGAAGAAGACCCCGAAAATGCTCTTTCAAAGGGACGTATGCTGAAGAACTTCAAGAAGACACAAGCCAACAAAGGAGCACCTCCCGAGAGAAGGTGTACAAGTGTGTGGACTGTGGGAAGATCTTTACCTGTGGGCGCAACCTGACCCGTCACCAACGGATCCACACGGGAGAGAAGCCCTTCGAGTGTCAGGAATGTGGGAAGAGATTCGGGGATAGTGGAAAACTCCTGCGTCACTGGATGATACACACCAAGGAGAAGCCCTTTGTCTGCCCCACCTGTGGGAAACGCACCTCCTCCAACTCGGACCTCACCAAACACAAGCGCATCCACTCGGAACTGAAACCCCACGCCTGCTCCTACTGCGGGAAGACCTTCCGGCAGAGAAATGACCTCAGGAGGCATCAGCAAGCCCACCACAAAGGTGAGTCCTCAGGGGGGGCGGACAGGGGCTGGCAGGTCCCACCTTTGGTTTGATTTTCTCCTCCCCAGCCCTGAGGGGGACGGGGTGAGCAAGCAGCTGCGTGGTGCTCAGGTGCCCTCTGAGCTCTAAACTCTTGTGGTGTCAGATACTGGAGGGAGCTGGGATCCCAGTGCAGCTGGTGGATTGGGTGGAGGCCTTGCTGGAAGGGCTCCAGCAGCATTGCATAAGGTACTGAAGGAGTTAATGCCTCAAACACTCCTCAACACAGCAAGCCTCAAGGAGAAGCTGGGACCTTAGCGATCAGCCCAAGGAATGCTGCCTAAGGAAGAGTAGAGTGACTTCAGTTTGCTGGAGTGCCAGATTCCTTAGAAAAGTCCCAAAGGGAACTATAGCTCAATAAAAGGTGGATAAGAGAGATAATTGCCAGGCACCAGATCTGCCTCTTTAGTATGCAAATCAGCTGCTCAAATGAACTTAAAGGTCCACAGAAAAGGTTGCTGTGTGTGCCCCCACCACCCAAGATTACCAGACCTATGACAATGCTGGAGCCAGGGGTGGTGATGTGGATACTCTGAGTCTTTCTCTCCTTCCCTCTCCCCTTCTTTCCTTTTCTTTCTGTGATTTCTTATAAATTTCTAATTAAGAGACGACATCCCTTACTCTCCTTTTCCAAGATTAACTTCTTTCTAACAAAAGAAAAAATTTTAGTTGTTCATCTGGTATCGTTTCACCATAAATTAAATCGAGGGGATCACAGAACACTGGGCTGCCAATATGGGTCGTAACACTGCTCAGCACGGGGCTGGGGGGCACTGGGCTGGGCTGGAGCTGCTGGAGCAGGGGGCTGCTCTTCCTCTGCCTTCAGAGCCCCGAAATGAGCCCCTTTGGTCTCCCCACAGGTGATGGGATAGACAGGGAGAAGGAGGAGGAGAGGCAGCCCATGGAGGAGCAGAGAGTGGTGCTGGAAGGAGCCGGAGACGAGCCCCAGAGCCCCAGGGTAGACGGGGACCAGGATGTCCCACGGCTGCCAGGGGTGATGCAAGGTAGCCAAGAGCCAAGAGGAACCCGAAGATGCTCTTTCAAAGGGACGTATGCTGAAGACCTTCAAGAAGACTCAACCCAACCAAGGAGTAGCTGCGGAGAGAAGGAGCACAAGTGCCCGGAGTGTGGGAAGTTTTTCACCCGTGGGAGCAGCCTGACTCGTCACCTGCAGCTCCACACAGGAGAGAAGCCCTTCAAGTGCCAGGACTGTGGGAAGAGCTTCAGGGTTGAAGAATATCTTATGTCCCACCAGAAGACACACATGAAGGAGAAGCCCTTTCTCTGCACCACGTGTGGGAAACGTTTCTGCAGAATGTCATCCCTCATGAAACACCAACACATCCACACGAGAAAGAAACAGTTCTCCTGCTCACAGTGTGTGAGGACCTTCTCGACAAGATCTGACCTGCTGTCTCATCAACAAGCCCACCACAATGGTGAGTCACTGGCAGGAGCTGAACCCCCCATCACGCTGTGGTCAGCTATAAAATAGAGGGGAGGCAGCTTGGGAGTGGGGCTTGGTCAGATTTCAGTCATGAACAGGCTGGGCATCCATCCCTGCGTGGCTGAGCGTAACTGATGGCCCCTTCCTGCCTCCTCAACTATTTTTACCTCCACCCATGGGTTTTCTCCCTCTTTCCCCCTTCCCGGGTTCCCCCACGGCGGGTGGGAGCAGCCAGCAGCCCCCCACTGCCCCATCCCGCCCTGAGCCATCTCCAGCCCTGGCCCTCCCGGGGGGTGGGGGGAGTTTGGGGGGATGGAAGTGGGGAGGGAGGGGGGAGCTGGGCCAGGGTGAAGGAGGAGGAGGGATAAAGGAGTAAGGATGAAAATGAGGAAGAGTATGATGGAGGACAAAGAGCAGGAAGATACACACACACTCAGAGCCATGGGCACCTGTACACCTGCACCCCGTCCCCTTGCACACGTGTGCACTACGGGGGGGGGCGGGCAGGGGCTGGCAGGTCCCGCAGTGCCCAGGCTGCTGCAGGGCTGCTGGGGGCAGGAGGGGCTGTGATCCCAGCGCCAGCACCCTCGGTGCCCAAGTCACAGGGGGGGTGGACCCCAAATCTGGTCTCCCCCATCCTTGTCTGGGTCCCCTGGACCTTCGATTTGATTTTCTCCTGCCCAGCCCTGAGGGGGACGGGGTGAGCGAGCGGCTGTGTGGTGCTCGGGTGCCCTCTGGGCTCAAACCACGACACAGCAGTAACAGGCAAGGCTACTGGAGCCATCTGGGATCCCAGTGCGGCTACTGGCGAGGGTGGAGGCCTTGCTGGAAGGGCTCCAGCAGCTGCTCAGCATGGGGCTGGGGGGCACTGGGCTGGGCTGGAGCTGCTGGAGCAGGGGGCTGCTCTTCCTCTGCCTTCAGAGCCCCGAAATGAGCCCCTTTGGTCTCCCCACAGGTGATGGGGCAGGCAAGGAGATAAAGGAGGAGGAGGAGAGGCAGCCCATGGAGGAGCAGAGGGTGGTGCTGGAAGGAGTCAAAGAGGAGCCCCAGAGCCCCAGGGTGGACGGGGACCAGGATGTCCCCCGGCAGCCAGGGGAGACACACGGTAGGCGATCGCAAAGAAGACCCCGAAAATGCTCTTTCAAAGGGACGTATGCTGAAGACCTTCAAGAAGACTCAACTCAACCAAGGAGTAGCTCCAGAGAGAAGGAACACAAGTGCCTGGAGTGTGGGAAATTTTTCGCCTGTGAGGGCAGCCTGAGCCAGCACCTGCAGCTCCACACGGGAGAGATGCCATTCAAGTGCCAGGATTGTGGGAAGAGCTTCAGGGTTGAAGCAAATCTTATATCCCATCAGAAAACACACATGAAGGAGAAGTCCTTTCTCTGTACCACGTGTGGGAAACGTTTCTGCAGTAGCTCGTCCCTCATGGAACACCAACGCATCCACACGGGAGGGAATCCGTTCTCCTGCTCACAGTGTGTGAGGACCTTCTCGAGAAGATCTGACCTGCTGTCTCATCAACAAGCCCATCACAATGGTGAGTCACTGGCAGGAGCTGAACCCCCCATCACGCTGTGGTCAGCTATAAAATAGAGGGGAGGCAGTTTGGGAGTGGGGCTTGGTCAGATTTCAGTCATGAACAGGCTGGGCATCCATCCCTGCATGGCTGAGCGTAACTGATGGCCCCTTCCTGCCTCCTCAACTATTTTTACCTCCACCCACGGGTTTTCTCCCTTTTTCCCCTCTTTCCCCCTTCCCGGGTTCCCCCACGGTGGGTGGGAGCAGCCAGCAGCCCCCCACTGCCCCATCCCGCCCTGAGCCATCTCCAGCCCTGGCCCTCCCGGGGGGCGGGGGGAGTTCATGGAGGAGATGAAAGCGGGGACACAGTAGGAACTACTCCTGAGTGATGCAGCAAGAGTAAGGCAGCATGAGGGGGAGATATGTGGAAGGAGCAGGAGCTGAAGGAGGGGACACACATACAGACACCAAGTCACCCCAAATCTGGTCCCCCCCATCCTTGTCTGGGTCCCCTGGACCTTCGGTTTGATTTTCTCCTCCCCAGCCCTGAGGGGGACGGGGTGAGCGAGCGGCTGCATGGTGCTCAGGTGCCCTCTGGGCTCAAACCACGACACAGCAGTAACAGGCAAGGCTACTGGAGCCATCTGGGATCCCAGTGCGGCTACTGGCGAGGGTGGAGGCCTTGCTGGAAGGGCTCCAGCAGCTGCTCAGCACGGGGCTGGGGGGCACTGGGCTGGGCTGGAGCTGCTGGAGCAGGGGGCTGCTCTTCCTCTGCCTTCAGAGCCCCAAAATGAGCCCCTTTGGTCTCCCCACAGGTGATGGGGCAGACAAGGAGAAGGAGGAGCAGAGGGTGGTGCTGGAAGGAGCCAGAGAGGAGCCGCAGAGCCCCAAGGTGGACGGGGACCAGGATGTCCCACGGCAGCCAGGGGAGATGCACAGTAGGCGATCGCGAAGAAGACCCCGAAAATGCTCTTTCAAAGGGACGTATGCTGAAGAACTTCAAGAAGACTCAACACAACCAAGGAGTAGCTCCACAGAGAAGGAGCACAAGTGCCCGGAGTGTGGGAAATTTTTAGCCTGTAAGGGCAGCCTGACCCAACACCTGCTGATCCATACGGAAGATAAGCCCTTCAAGTGCCAGGACTGTGGGAAGAGCTTCAGGGTTGAAGCATATCTTATATCCCACCAGAAAACACACATGAAGGAGAAGCCCTTTCTCTGCACCACGTGTGGGAAACGTTTCTGCAGTAGCTCATCCCTCATGAAACATCAACGCATCCACACGGGAGGGAATCCGTTCTCCTGCTCACAGTGTGTGAGGACCTTCTGGACCTGGTCTGACCTCATATACCATCAGGAAACCCGCCACAAAGGTGAGTCACTGGCAGGAGCTGAACCCCCCATCACGCTGTGGTCAGCTATAAAATAGAGGGGAGGCAGTTTGGGAGTGGGGCTTGGTCAGATTTCAGTCATGAACAGGCTGGGCTGGAGCTGCTGGAGCAGGGGGCTGCTCTTCCTCTGCCTTCAGAGCCCCAAAATGAGCCCCTTTGGTCTCCCCACAGGTGATGGGACAGACAAGGAGAAGGAGGAGCAGAGGGTGGTGCCAGAAGGAGCCAGAGAGGAGCCCCAGAGCCCCAGGGTGGACGGGGACCAGGATGTCCCACAGAAGCCAGGGGAGACACAAGGTAGCCAAGAGCCAAGAAGACCCCGAAAGTGCTCTTTCAAAGGGACGTATGGTGAGGAACTTCAAGAAGATGCAACCCAACCAAGGACTAGCTCCAGAGGGAAGGAGCACAAGTGCCTGGAGTGCGGGAAATTTTTAAGCCGTGGGAGCAGCCTGACCCGTCACCGACGGATTCACACGGGAGAGATGCCCTTCAAGTGCCAGGAGTGTGGGAGGAGATTCAGGTTTGAAGCATATCTTATATCCCACCAGAAGACACACATGAAGGAGAAGCCCTTTCTCTGCATCACCTGTGGGAAACGTTTCTTCAGTAGGCCGTCCCTCATGAAACACCACCGCATCCACACAAGAAAGAAAGAGTTCTCCTGCTCACAGTGTGTGAGGACCTTCTCGACAAGATCTGACATGCTATATCATCAGCAAGCCCTCCACAGTGGTGAGTCACTGGCAGGAGCCGAACCCCCCATCACGCTGTGGTCAGCTATAAAATAGAGGGGAGGCAGTTTGGGAGTGGGGCTTGGTCAGATTTCAGTCATGAACAGGCTGGGCATCCATCCCTGCATGGCTGAGCGTAACTGATGGCCCCTTCCTGCCTCCTCAACTATTTTTACCTCCACCCATGGGTTTTCTCCCTTTTTCCCCTCTCTCCCCTTCCTGGGTTCCCCCACGGCGGGTGGGAGCAGCCAGCAGCCCCCCACTGCCCCATCCCGCCCTGAGCCATCTCCAGCCCTGGCCCTCCCGGGGGGCGGGGGGAGTTCATGGAGGAGATGAAAGCGGGGACACAGTAGGAACTACTCCTGAGTGATGCAGCAAGAGTAAGGCAGCATGAGGGGGAGATATGTGGATGGAGCAGGAGCTGAAGGAGGGGACACACATACAGACACCAAGTCACCCTAAATCTGGCACCACCCATCCTTGTCTGGGTCCCCTGGACCTTCGATTTGATTTTCTCCTGCCCAGCCCTGAGGGGGACGGGGCGAGCGAGCAGCTGCGTGGTGCTCAGGTGCCCTCTGGGCTCAAACCACGACACAGCAGTAACAGGCAAGGCTACTGGAGCCATCTGGGATCCCAGTGCGGCTACTGGCGAGGGTGGAGGCCTTGCTGGAAGGGCTCCAGCAGCTGCTCAGCACGGGGCTGGGGGGCACTGGGCTGGGCTGGAGCTGCTGGAGCAGGGGGCTGCTCTTCCTCTGCCTTCAGAGCCCCAAAATGAGCCCCTTTGGTCTCCCCACAGGTGATGGGGCAGACAAGGAGAAGGAGGAGCAGAGGGTGGTGCTGGAAGAAGAAAGAGAGGAGCCGCAGAGCCCCAAGGTGGATGGGGACCAGGATGTCCCACGGAAGCGAGGTGAGACACAAGGTAGCCAAGTGTCAGTAGAACCCCAAAAATGCTTTTTGAAAGGGACATGTGCTGAAGGCCTTCGGGGAGAGTCAGACCAACCGTGGAGTAGCTCCATGGGGAAGGTGTACAACTATTTGGTTGGTGAGAAGGTCTTCAGCAAAGGGAGGAACCTGAACCCACACTGGCGTATCCATACAGGAAAGAAGTCCTTCAAGTGCCAGGAATGCGGGAAGGGCTTCAGGGATACTACGAACCTCCTCTCTCACATGAGGACACACACCAAGGAGAAGCCCTTTCTCTGCACCACCTGTGGGAAACGCTTCTCCTGGCGCTCGAACCTCCTCACCCACCAACGCACCCACACGGAAGAGAATCCGTACTCCTGCTCGTACTGCGGGAAGACCTTCCGGCATAGTCATAACCTCCGGAGGCATCTCTTTTTCTTCCACAACGGTGAGTCCTCAGGGGGGGGTGGGCAGGGGCTGGCAGGTCCCGCAGTGCCCAGGCTGCTGCAGGGCTGCTGGGGGCAGGAGGGGCTGTGATCCCAGTGCCAGCACCCTCGGTGCCCAAGTCACAGGGGGGGTGGACCCCAAATCTGGTCCCCCCCATCCTTGTCTGGGTCCCCTGAACCTTTGATTTGATTTTCTCCTCCCCAGCGCTGATGGGGACGGGGCGAGCGAGCGGCTGCGTGGTGCTCAGGTCCCCTGTGGGCTCAAACCTCTGTGGTGTCTGATACTGGAGGGAGCTGGGATCCCAGGGCAGCTGGTGGATTGGGTGGAGGCCTTGCTGGAAGGGCTCCAGCAGCATTGCATAAGGTACTGAAGGAGTATCAAACATTCTTTGACACAGAAAACCTCAAGGGCAAGCTGTGGCCTTTGTGATTAGTTTAAGGTTGCTGCTACAGGAAGGGGGGAGTTTATGGAACAATGCACAGCTTTACTCCCTGCTGCTGCAGAGCCAAATTCCTTACACAAGCCTCAAAGGAAACTATAGGTCCTAGACAAAAGGGTGATAAGAGATAAGCACCGGGCACCAGACCTGCCTCTTTTTGTCTGGGATGTAATTCAGATGCAAGATGAACTTAAAAGGTGACAAAAAACCCTGCTGTATGTGCCCCCAGCACCCAAGATTACCAGACCTCAGCCAATTCTTAGATCTGGGATGTTGATCTGGGTACTTTGACTCTTTCTCTCCCTCTTCTTTCTTATAGGTGTATCAATAAGAGACCACGTTGCTTACTCTCCTTTTTCCAGTTTAAGCCATTTCTACCTCAAGTTAAACATTTTAACTGGTTGGTTGATGGTGTTTCACCTTAATTTAACTTGAGGGGATCACAGAACCTTTAGGACTCCCTGGGCTCCCAGTCCGGGTTGTAACATCCCCTTATTGGTGCTAAAGTGACTGTGGGGACCAGGCGTTCGCTGTAGTCCCTCTCTGAGAAGAGTCATACAAAAAGGGGGGGGGACACAACCCTCTGAGGTCTGGCAAAGGATGTGATCCCTATAATTATATACTTGTTACAACCTCCTTGAGAGGACTGCTTATAGATTTTTACCCTCCTCCAGGAAATATTGGAGAGCTATAATGCTCAACCTTCTCCCCCTGGTGTGACTTGGGCCCCTAACAATTGGCTTGACCTGCAGGCGGTGGGTGGTGGATTGAATCTCTCCTCTAGCTAAAGAGTGGAGATTGAAACTTGGAAAAGGAAAAGCAATGGTCTGTGCAGTTTTAGGAGCTGCTCTGGTGTCAAAACAACAGGATAAATATGGGACCCAGCAGGCAGAAGAGGAGGCAATAAAATCCCTTCAAGATCTGTTGAAGGCTTTGCAGGGACAATTAGAAGATGAGACGAGAAGCCTCTCCAACCAACTTGCTGCTGAGTGAGTGGCGAACCAACGGTTATGTACTGCTTTAACGGAGGCTTTGGAGTGGGAGAAAATGTCAATTAGATGAAACCTGTTCCCAGACTGGTGTAGAAAATATGGATGCAGATACTGATGGGAGAAAAGAACCCAAATTGTTGTATGCTCTAGGTCTTTAAAAGGGTGTAAGAGAAAGCTATTCCCTTGAGAGGGGGAGAGGTTGTTATGTGGCCATTGATTAAAAATGAGACTATTGATGATGGTCAGAGAGAGGCCAAGCAAGTCACCATATGAACTGTCCCCTACTACCCTACAGATTTGGCTAAAATTCAGGAAAAATATAGCTGGGAATGCTGAGAAATGGAAACGGAATATGTATGGAGAGTATCTCTTGCTGGGAGTGACCGGATCTTGCTGCGTGAGGATGAGGCAAGAGGGTGTTGGGGACTGGGGGTTTTTATAACCACCAGTGACAACAGAGAACCTTGGTTCCTGATCCAGCAATTGGGCTGGAGGATTAGACCCTAAGGAAAGGGGAGAGCCCTTCTGAAGAAAGACTCTGACAGCGGGACGTATTCTAGAGAGCGTACAAAGGGCTGCATGTCTCCAGCTAATGCATGACCGGTTATTAATTCTGCACCAGCCCTCTCCTGGGCAAGATGTGCCAGATCCCAACAGATTGCTTCCTCTCATAAGGGAACTGCCCGACGCCTCGAAATTATACGCAGCACAATTACAAGATTCTCTGAGAACACCCCGACGCCAGAGAAGGCGGGGCCCGCGGAGATGGCACGGGGAGAAGTAGCACCGGAGTTGATTAATGATAGGAGATGGATGGGATTCGCTGGACAGGGAGAGGTAAAATCCAAAGCAGACCTTAGGAGGGTGGAAGGAAATGGGGAGATAAAAGCTAAGCCCGTGCAGAGTTCCCAGCTCCTCCTGGTGAAGCCGACGCAGCCTCCTGCTAGTAAAAGATTCACGCTATGGTCAGAGGGCATTTCGAAGGGGATTCCTGGGAGGTGATGGATGGGTTACCCACCCCCAACCTGGAAGGTTTGCTGAAAGGCTGGGACAAGGTAAAGGGGACCCCACCTCCCTCAAACCCCAAAGATCTTTCTCTCCCATCCTGCGAACTTGGAACTATAACCCCGTCTTGTCCCCGGGAGACAATTCATTGTTTGCAGCGTTGGGTCGGGAAACCGGACGCGCCATTCCCAGTAAGCGAGCTGGGGGATGGCTGGAGGGGCTGCTTCAGCAGGCTGACTGAAAATAGTAAGGGAGACTCATTGATTACCTCTCCCCTTGGCCCCCTTAAGCCTCCAGTTACATTTCTGATAGAAGAAGGAGCTTCCAAGGTACTTCAGGTACAGGAGCCACCCAATAACTGACCTGATCAGAAAACTCCCCGTTCCCTTATAAAGCCAGCTCCTCCGTTTGAGGGGCTCCTGTTCTGGGGAGCAAATCAGTGGGGAGTCATCGAGGTACCTGCGTGGCAAAAAAGAAAAGTGGGAGGAAATCTTAAATGGTGCCAAACAGGGTGGGATGGGGAGCTGCACACCAAAAGGGGAATCACCCAGCCAACATTTGCAATCATCGAGTAGATTCGTTAACCCGTTGAAATACAATGGCAGCAGAAGCTGATGGAGAGAAGTGGGAACGTCTGTTAGAGTGGTTCCATGTGAAATGTGGTCGCTCAGGGGCCAAAGATCGTTTTAGAGAAGCCGGTGGCCAGGGTTGGCCTGTTACTGGAAAACGGTTCAAGATGATTATTTCTGCTCGTGGTTCATGTTGCACCTGATTAGAAAGAGCCCCCTTGCAGGAAACCCCTCACCACTTGTGGGATGGGAAGGGCCTCTGGGAGACTTGGCAAATTGATTATATAGGAGCCTTTAAAAAAATCAAACAGGAAGCAGTAGGTTCTCATAGGGGTGGGAGTAGTATCAGGGCTCACCCAGGCTGAGGCAACTGGAGAAAATACCGTACAAGTGTTGAAACTAGGGTTTAATCAATTACCAAAACCCCCATCAACTCAATCAGACAGCAGGATTTATGATTTTTGTCAGTATTCTTTGGAATGATGATAGGTATTGCTATAGTGAACTGTATGCTCTCTGGTATTCTTTCCTCTCTTTCTCCCTCTGATATGTCTGGATTACCCTCCTTGATGACGACTCCCTCAGAGTTTCACCAAACCTTTGAGTCATGGGGTGGTGGAAGGAACTGAAGGAGTTAATGCCTCAAACACTCCTCAACACAGCAAGCCTCCAGGAGAAGCTGGGACCTTAGCGATCAGCCCAAGGAATGCTGCCTAAGGAAGAGTAGAGTGACTTCAGTTTGCTGGAGTGCCAGATTCCTTAGAAAAGTCCCAAAGGGAACTATAGCTCAATAAAAGGTGGATAAGAGAGATAATTGCCAGGCACCAGATCTGCCTCTTTAGTATGCAAATCAGCTGCTCAAATGAACTTAAAGGTCCACAGAAAAGGTTGCTGTGTGTGCCCCCACCACCCAAGATTACCAGACCTATGACAATGCTGGAGCCTGGGGTGGTGATGTGGATACTCTGAGTCTTTCTCTCCTTCCCTCTCCCCTTCTTTCCTTTTCTTTCTGTGATTTCTTATAAATTTCTAATTAAGAGACGACATCCCTTACTCTCCTTTTCCAAGATTAACTTGTCTCAAACAGAAATAAAATATTCTAGCTGCTTGTCTGGTGTTGTTTCACCCTGAAAATGCTCTGCCAAAGACCTAAGTGCTGCAGCCCAGCCCAGGGGTGGCTCCAGAGCTGAGGTCTACGCGCGTGGGGACTGTGGGAAGGTCGTGGGCTCTGCGAGCAGGCTGACCCGCCGCGGGGGGGACGCGCGGGGGAGAGGGGCCCTTCGGGCGCCGGGGCTGCGGGAAGAGTTTCCCGCGGAGCGCGAAGCTCCACTCACCAGTGGGCACAGAGCGAGGGGGAGCCCCTCGTCCGCACCACGGCGGGGAAACGCTTCTCCTGCCGCTCGAACCTCGTCGCTCACCCACGGATCCACGCGGGAGGGAGGGCCCCACGCCCGCTGGCGCTGCGGGAAGAGCTCCCGGCAAAGCGCGGCCGCGCCCCGACCCCCCAGGAGGGTCCCTGCAGCTGAGCCCTCGCCCCCCCAGACGCTGATACTGGGGGGCAGAACGGCCGGGGGGTTGGGGCTGTGGGGGGATCAGTGTGGGTGTGCACGAGCGGCGTGGGGGGGGTGTGTGCAAGTGCAGGGGTGCCCGAAGGTCGGGGGGGGGTGTGTGTGTGTGTGTGTCTGTGTCCCTGCTCCCCACCTCCTCCTGCCATCCCCCTCCTGTCCATCACTAACACTCCCCATCCCTCCTGCTCCCGCTCCTCCTCCTCCTGCTCCATCCCTCCCGCTCCTTCAGCCTCCGCTCCCTGCTCCTCCTCTATTCCTCCTCCTCCTCCATCGCTCCTCCTCCCTCACCCTTCCTCTTCCTGCTCCTCCTCCATCCCTCCCGCTCCTCCTCCATCCCTCCTGCTCTCCCGCTCCTGCTCCATCCCTCCTCCTGCTTCATCCTTCCTATTCTTACACCCGTCCTCTTCCTGCTCCTGCTCCATCCCACCCCCTCCTCTAACCTTCCCCCTCCTCTTACTCCTCCTCCTCCATCCCTCCTCTTCCTCCTCCACCCTGGCCCAGCTCCCCCCTCCCTCCCCACTTCCATCCCCCCCAAACTCCCCCCACCCCCCGGGAGGGCCAGGGCTGGAGATGGCTCAGGGCGGGATGGGGCAGTGGGGGGCTGCTGGCTGCTCCCACCCGTGGGGGAACCCGGGAAGGGGGAAAGAGGGGAAAAAGGAAGAAAACCCATGGGTGGAGGTAAAAATATTGGGGCAGGAGGAGGGAGGAAGGAGCCATCACTCAACCCCACCCATGGGGAGATGGATGCCCAGACAGTTCCCAAACCACATCTGGCCAACGCCCGCCCTCAAATGCCCTCCTCTCCATTTTATCTCTGAGTAAGACAAGACATGGCCTTAAACCTCCAGGGACTCACCACTGTGCAGGGCTTGCTGATGGCTCCTGAGGTGGTAACTCCGCTGGAAGCTCTTCCCACAGTACGAGCAGGTGTAGGGTCTCAGTCCCGTGTGGATGCGCTGGTGGATGAGGAGGTACGAGCGCCAGGAGAAGACTTTTCCACATGTTGTGCAGAGAAAGGTCTTCTCCTTGGTGTGTGTCGTCCGGTGACGCAGGAGTTTCACACTATACCTGAAGCTCTTCCCACAATCCAGGCACTTGAAGGGCTTCTCTCCCGTGTGGGACTGATGGTGACGGCTCAGGCTGCTCCTGCGGTTGAAGACCTTCCCACAGTCCAGACACGTGTACACCTTCTCTCTGGACTGATTCGTTGGTTGGGTTGCGTCTCCCTGACGGCCCCCACCATACGTCCCTTTGAAAGAGCATTTTCGGGGTCTTCTTGGCTCTTGGCTACCTTGCGTCTCCCCTGGCTGCCGTGGGACATCCTGGTCCCTGTCCACCCTGGGGCTCTGGGGCTCCTCTCCGGCTCCTTCCAGCACCACCCTCTGCTCCTCCATGGGCTGCCTCTCCTCCTCCTTCCCAGTCCCCCCAGGACCCAGCACTGGGGACAGAAATACTTGAGGGAGAGATGGAATAACCGAGACAGGACCAACTGCCGTGACCGACGCACAGACCCACCCCCTTGTACTACGCCGCCAGACCCTTTTACACCCTTTCCTCCTCCTGCCCCCCTTCCCTGCTCATCACCTCCTGCGCACGCACAGCCCCCGCTCCAGCCGGGCATCCTTATCAGCTGCGAAGCTCGTGGTGGAGCTTCCAAGTTCTACTGGTGGCTAGAAGAGCCCCGTTGGCATGGCCAGCCACGTTTCCTGCTGGTTCATATCTTCGTTAACGCTAATTGGGCAGGTTGGATGTCTCTGTTGCTCAGCTCCCTCCCTTGCCTCCTCCTCCTCCTCACGCTCCCCATGGCCTTGCCCGTTAGCACCAGCCTCCAGGTTTGTTCTTATCGCCACCTCCACTCTCATGTGTGGTTTTGTTTGTCCCTGGATGTTCTTGTTGATGCCTTCTTGGTCCAGGCCACTTATGCTGGGGGGAGCTACATGCAGTCAAGGCATGGGAAGAGGGGGGCGGGTGTTGAAATTTGGGGGGCAGAAAGTCCTTACTCAGGACTGAGGTGCCCTCGTGGCTCTCCCCTTGCATGGTGGGGTCATGGGGTGAGCGCTGGTCCGTGTGTCAGCCCACCGCCGGGCAAGACTTTTGAAGCTCCATCCCTTGGGATGACATTCAAGATCCACCTGGGGAGGTTCAGAGCCCCCCCCCCCCCCCCCCGATTATTTGGGGGGGGTGCCTGCCCTCCTCCAGGGCATTATTTAGGGGCTGACTGATGGACGTGCAGAACGATCCCAGCTTGGGCAGCAATCAATGGGCACCAGTGCCCCCCCAAAATGCGGGGGTGCGGCATCGCCCTCAGCCCCACGAGGATCACCTCCACTCGGTACAAAGCAGTGAGGAGCCCTGTTGGGTCTGGGGGGGGGGGGTGTCCTTCTTTTGCACCCCCCCCGCCCCGGACTGCCCTGTGACCCGTGGGGTGCTCCCGTTTCCTTTGGATGCCACCCCAAGATCTTCAGGGCTACCCCCCATTATATACACGGTGCTGCTCACCTCCCCCCCCCATTCAGCTGTCTGGGGACCCCCCCCCCCCAATTCCTTCTGGGTGCTGCCCTGGGGTCCCCCTTTATCCCAGCCACTGCCCGGGGACCCCCCCAGTACCTGCAGGTGCTACCCCAGGGTCCCCCGAGGGCTCTGCCCCTGACCGCCCCCCCCGGTCCTTGTAGTTGCTCCCCAGGGCCCCCCCGGTCCCTGCAGCTGTGGACCCCCCCATTACCTCCAGGGATCTGCCCGGGACCCCCCCGTTATCTACAAGGATCTGCCCAGGACCCCCTCACAGTACCTGCCCCCCCTGGTGTTACTGGCAGAAGGTCGGATAGACCCCCCCCCGGTGTTACTGGGGGCAGCTGGGATAGAGTGTCCCCCGCCCCCCCGGTGTTACTGGGGGAACTGGGATGGATTGTGTCCCCCCCCGGTGTTACTGGGGGCAGCTGGGATGGACACCCCCCCCCCGGTGTTACTGGGGGCAGCTGGGATGGACACCCCCCCCCCGGTGTTACTGGGGGCAGCTGGGATGGAGCCCCGCCCCCCCCAGTGTTATTGGGGGAACTGGGATGGAGCCCCCCCGGTGTTACCAAGGGAAGCCAGGATGGAGCCCCCCCATTCCTGGCTCCTCTCTGCTACCCGCCTCCTTGATGAGCAGCCTCAAGGTTTAATTAGACAAAATAAATAATAATTAAAAAATAAAATAAAATTAAAAAAAAATAAAAGAGCCAGACACAAAGGGAGGCAATATTTTTTTCTGTAAATAACAGAATTTGCCCATTATCACACACACACTGACCCTGGGAATTAAAATAAAATATTAACAAAAAACAACAAAAAAGGCCTGAGTTGATAAAAACCCATGGAACTGCGATATTAATTTTTTTTAACGAAGGGAGGAGCTGCCACTGTTTGGCCTCGCTCCTGGGTGGCCGCGGCCTTAGAGAAATGTGGATTTGGGGTTGTTCCTGGGTAAGGACCTTCGTCTGGACGACGGGGCTCAAACAGTGTTAGATAACTGTCGTGGTTTGGGCCTGGTTGGCAGCCAACCACAAGGCAGCAGCTCTCTCTCCCTTCCCCTCCGGCAATGAGAAGGGACAGAGAGCCAGGCTTGGGGTTCAAGGTAGGACTGGGATGGGGAAAAATCCCCCTTTTATGGTCATGAGCAAAAGGCAGACTCATTAGGGGAAGGAAAAAAAGAACATACATTTATTACAGACACTAACAACACGTAGCAGAGTAGGACAGTGAGAAGCATTGCCACATCTTGAGAACACCTTCCCCCCACCCCTCCCTTCTTCCCGGGCTCAGCTCTGCTCCCGATATCTCTACCTCCTCCCCCAGGGGCGCAGGGGCAGGGAATGGGGGGTGCAGGCAGTGCTGCCACTTCCTTCATCTTCGGTGAGTGGAGTGTCCGGAACTTGTTCCTCCTGCTCCATCGTGGTCCCCCTCTCACAGGAGACAGTCCTCCACAAACTTTCTCTGACATGAGTCCCTCCCACAGGCCGCAGCGTTCCCCACACTGCTCCATCATGGGTCACTAACTTTCTCCGACTGGATTCCCTCCCACGGCTGCAGCCCTTCCCGAGCTGCTCCGGTGTGGGACACCCCCCCATGCTGCAATCCTCCCAGCGCTGAATTACAGCAGCGGGGCTGCCTTTTCCCACTAGACCCCGGCCTTCTTCGGGCACAGCACCTTGATCAGGCAAGTAGGAGCCACAGGCCATAAATCAGTGTCTGCTCCACCGTAGCTCTCCATGGGTGGCGGGGGGGGCCGCCCTGCTGTCTCCCCACAGGATACAGGGCGGTCTCTGCTCCAGCACACCTCCCCCCTCCTTTCTTCCTCCGTTCCTCCACTGACCTTGGTGTTCACGCAGCTGCAACTCCTCCTCACCAGTCCCACTTCCCGTCACCACATCCGTTATCGCAGAGGCACAGCCGATTGGCTCAATTTCCCAAACAGAAGTGGAGCTGACGTGGAGCTGGGGGATCTTCGAGAAGCTTCTCCCAGGGGGCCGCCCCGATAGCCCCCTCCCCTGCCACCAAAAAACTCCACCACTCACTCAACCCAGGACAATAACGCGAAACTAATCCCCAAAAATATGTCTTGGTCCTGAGTTGGATGTCCCAACAAAAGACCGTGAGATGGGAGCAGGGACTTGATTTCACTCGTGTTAAATGATGCTCCCGCTCCGAAAAATATCTTGCAAAGGCTGGAATTTAAGCCTAAAGCTGATTAATTCATCCCATTAATGAGTTTCCTGCATCCCAGGATGGAGGTGAAGCAGAATAAAAATCCTCCCAGTTGGTTTCAAGAGCCAGCCCAGTGTGGGGAAAGAGGATGCGGAGGACATCACATAGGACCCACCTCTCATCTTAGAGAAATCCAGATGTTGGGGTTTTCCTGCTGAGAAAAGCTTAGTTTTCCAGCACCAATTAACAGTAAGTGTTACTAATGATGTCTTTGGATAATCCAAGGTTGATTTTATTGGTGGAGGATCCCAGGGGGTGAAAGAGAGGAAGACGAGGGCAGAACTTGATTTCCCTTTGCAACCCAAACATGTGGTATGGGGCTGGAGACCCCAAAAGTCGCAGCCCCCCATGGGTGTCCACCTAAATCAGGAGAGCTGTCGCCACCTGTTGCTCCACGTGGTGGTTCTGGTGGGACCCCAGCTCGTCGTAGTTCTTCCCGCACATGGAGAACTTGTAAGGAGCCTCCTCCGTGTGGGTCGGATGAGCTTTGAGGTCATGGTGAAGCCCTTCCCACGGTTGGGACTTCTACAGGGTCCCTCACCGTGATGGGTCCCCTGGAGGGAGATGGGGCTGGAGGCGCCCCTGAAGCTCCTCCAGCACTTGGGGCAGGTGTAGGGTCACTCACCGGTGTGGTGATGGATCAGGCTGTACCTCCAGCTGGAGGTGCACTTGGATATTTTCAGCGCTGACCACGCCTTCCCTTGGGGAACGTCGGCACTGAGGTCCTCAAAGACGCTCTGACCATGGGAGAACCTGGTCTGCACCATCTCATGGCGATTCCCCAGCTGCTTCTCACCCAGCTCCAGGCTCGGGGAATCCTCCTCCTCTCCAGTCCTTCCAGCTACCAGCCCCGAGGAGGGTGGTGAAGACCAGGAGGACACCCCTGGGGCCAGCAGAGGACCGGCAAGGAGGGGCAGCAGCATCTCCAGGGTCCTCCAGCCAAGGCGTCCCCATGGCCTTGTCCCACCTTGGGCTGGAGAAGGAGCACAGGGCAAGGATGGAGACCCAAAAGACGCTCGCCTGGAGCTGTGAGCTGCTGGGGACCAACAGCTCCAAACCCGACCTACTTTCCTCCTCCCTCCCTGGAGGAGAAGACACCCCTTGGGAGCCGCCGCCTCCCTCCGCCAGCTCCAGGAGAAGCTCTGGGAGGTCACCAAAGCGTCCTCAGCTCTCCGATCCCTCGAGAGTGAAAAAAACCTCCTTGGGCTGCAGAGCGTCTCGCCGGGTTGGCCAAGTCACCCACCCAAACCCGGAGGAGACGTTGGCTCCACGGGGGAGCAGCAGGACACGGGTCCTTCACCCCTCGAAACTCAAGGGTGGTGCCCGGATCTCCACCCCACGGCGGGGGATCTCCACCCCACGGCGGGGGATCTCCACCTTCCGCCACTTTGAGCGGTGACAAGCCTGGGGGGGGGGTGGGGGTGTGTGAGGGGGGGGGACACCTCAAGGTGTCGTCCCCTGTCCCCTTGGGTGTCACCTTCTCCCTGCTCTGGGCCACCCAGGATCTCCTGAGGGTGCTCCAGGCCACGTGAGGCGCGGGGGGCCCGATCCTGCGCAGATCCCATCTCCAGCCTCAGGGAGCTGTTTCTCAGCGGGTGGGGGGAGAGGAAGATGTTCCCACCCCCCCACACCCCCTCCCCCCTTTTTTTTTTTTTTTTTCCTGCCGATCGGCTTCAAAGGGAGCTGAGCCGGCTGGGTGCTGAGCACCGCGCCCAGGGTGCTGAGCACCCCGCCGAGGCGGCAGCAGGGTGCGGGGGGGCCGGGGGAAGGCGGCTCATCCCCGTCCCACCGCACCCAGCCCCGGGGGGGGCCGGGGGGGTGAGGGGTGGATTTGGGGTCCCCCCCCCTCCGTGGCGCTGGGATCACAGCCCCTCCTGCCCCCAGCAGCCCTGCAGCAGCCTGGGCACTGCGGGACCTGCCAGCCCCTGCCCGCCTCCCCCTGCATCCCCCGTGAACCACCCTGCACCCCCCTGAACCCACCTTGCACCCCCCTGCACCCCCCTGAACCCCCTGCACCCCTCCTGCACCCTCCCTGCACCCTCTGCGCCCCCCTGCACCCCCCTGAACCCCCTGCACCCTCCCTGCACCCTCTGCACCCCCCTGCACCCCCCTGCACCCCCCCTGAACCCCCTGCCCCCCCTTGCACCCTCTGCACCCCCCCTGCACCCTCTGCACCCCCCTGAGCCCCCTGCACCCCCCCTGAGCCCTCTGCACCCCCCCGCACCCCCCCTGCGATAGACAAGGGGCGCCCCCAGAATTTTGGATTCGGGGGGGGGGGGGCTGGGATGAGGGGGGGGCCTCAGAGTAACCCCGGCAGGGACAGGGGGTGGAGGGGGGGGCGGGGCTGGGCGGGCAGGAGACGGCCCCCCCCTCCCCCCGGCCCCAGGATTAGCGGGTTGTGCCCACGCGTGGGCGTGGGAGTGCGGGGGGGGGGTGGGTGGGGCGGGGGGGTGTGCTGCTCAGCCGCGCTGGGGGTGACACGCGCGTGCGACACGCACGTGACACACACACACACACGCGTGGCCACACGCACACGGGTGACGGCACAATCCCCCTCCCGGCCCCCCCCCAAAATCCCACTGTCACCCCCCTCCAGCCCCTCCCCCCGCCTCGCCGCGGGGCCGCCCCCCCCCCGCCCCCCCCCCGCTCCCTCCCCACTCCCGAGGCGGAGCCGGGGCCCCTCCCCCTCTCCCCCCCTCCCCCACCCCACCCCATCCCCCCCCTCCCCCCCCCCCCCGCACCCTCCCCCACCCACCTGGGTCCCTCCCGCGGGCAGCCCCGGCCCCAGCGCCCATCCCCGTGGCGCCGCGCCGCATCCCCCCCCCCCCCAAACCCTCCAGTGCCCCCCCCGTGTCCGTGTGTCCGTCCGTAGCTCCCCCCCCCCCTCCTTTCCGCCCCCCCCCCCCGGATTTTTTTCCCATCCCTCCATCACCGGGAGTTTCCCATCCTCCATCCGGAGCATCTTCATCCTCCTCCTCCTCCTCCCTCCAGCTCCGTGACACCCCCCCCCCCCTCCCGGATTTATTGCCCCCCCATTTCAGCTCCCCTCCCCCCCCCAGGCTCCTCCTTCCCCCCCCGCGGAAAAGCCCAGGCCAAGGTAAGACAACACCCCCCCCCCCCCAAAAAAAAAAAATAAAAAAAGGGTCCCCCCCTTTTTTGGGAGGGGGTGGGAAGAATTAGGGGGGAGGGAGGGGCACTGACAACCCCCCCCGCCCCCCATTTTTGTGGCCGGGGGAGGGTGGGGTTGACACCCCCTCCTTGTTTTCACACACAGGGGTTGCACCCCAATAATGCCCCCCCCCCTTCTTTAAACCTGGCCCCCCCCCCCGGCCCCCTCCCCCAACCGGGAATGCTGGAGCCCCCCCATCCTGCCCTTCCCCCCCATCTTAGCACCCGCCCCCCCTCCCCCAATCATGGGACCCCCCCCAGACCCTGACAGCCCCCCCCCCCCCACCCCCCCGCTGGGCCCTGGGACCCCCCAAACTTCCACCCCCCCCCTCGCAGCCTGGGACCCCAATTCCCTTCCATCCCCCCCCCCCTTTTCCTGGGGCGCCCCAATCCTGGTGTGTCCCCGCCCCATCCTGGACCCCCCCATGCTGGAGGGGGGGGGGGGATTTGGGGTGCTAGGGAAGGGGGGGGGACACCCTTTCCCAAGGGGGTGGGGGGCACCCAGTACCACCCCTCTGCCCCGCAAGCTGGGGTCCCCCCCCCTCAGCAGGGCCCCCAATGGGACGGGGGGGGGGGGAGGAAATGGGGGGGGGGGGGTCGGGGGGGGCCACGCCTGCGTCCTACCAGCTCAGCAGTAACCAAGCAACAGCCGTAGCGCCTCTAATTAGCCCTGATTAGCTCCGGGGTTAATTACCCCACGGCCTGGCTGGGCTGGAAGGGGCGGGGGGGGGGGGGGCAGGAACACAAACTGGGGGTGCCCCCCCCCCAACCCCCCTGCTCCCAGCCAGGATCGGGCCCACCCTGCGCCAGCCGGGAAATTCTTCAGCCCGTTAAATAATTATTTATTAATTTCTTTGCTGCTTAAAAAAAAAAAAAAAAACAAAAAAATTGAAAACAGTTTGAAAAGAAATTTTAAGTAATTTTACATTTTTTGTTTTAAATTGTAATTTTTTTTTTTTTTAAAAAAACCCCAACAAAATAGATTTAAAACCAATATAAAATAAATATGAATTATTTATCTCTGCTGCAGCTGGTTACGGCCCGGGGGGGGGTTGTGCCGGCTGTTTGCACACTCGTGTCCCCCAGGTGTAACCGCGGCGGGGGGTTACGCTCCGCCGGTGTGAAGAGGGTGTCGTTTACCCCGGGAGCGTGCAAGGGGGGTGCCGGCTGCGCGTGTGTAAGCAGTGTGCAGGCTGCACTGCGCGCGTGGAAGGGAGGTGTAAGGTCGCCCTGTACACGCGCGCGGGCGGGGTGTCGTTTGTACCGAGTGTGCAAATGGGGTGTAACCTGTGCGGCGCACCTGTGAGCGGCTCTACGTCGCTCCTTGTGTGTGCAAACGGCTGTAGCTTGTACTGTGGGTGTGCAAGCGGGGTGTCGTTCGCACTGTGCGTGTGTAAGCAGGGCGTAAAGTTGTACCACGAGTGTGCAAACAGGGGGTACTCTGCCCTGAGCCTTCAGTCGGGGTGTAGCTTGCACAGCACGCGTGTGAGGGGCTGTAGCCCGCGCCCTGTGTGTGCAAATGGGTGTAACTAGCACTGTGCGTGTGTAAACACGGTGTAGTTTGCCCTGTGCAAGTGTAAGCAGGGTGTAGTTTGCACTGTGAGTGTGCAAGAGTCGTCTACTCTGCACTGACCCTTCAAACTGGGTGTAGCTTGCACAGCACGCGTGTGAGCAGGGTGTAACCCGCGCCCTGTGGGTGCAAACGGGTGTAACTAGTGCTGTGAGTGTGTAAGCAGGGGGTAGTTTGTACTGTGGGCGTGTAAGCAGGGTGTAGTTTGTACTGTGGGTGTGCAAGCAGGGTGTAGTTTGCCCTGTATATGTGTAAGCAGGGTGTAGGTTGCACTTCGGGTGTGCAAACAGGGGGTACTTGGCACCGAGTCTTAAAAGTGGGTGTAGCTTGCACAGCACACGTGTGAGCATGGTGTAACCCACACCCTGTGTGTGCAAACGGGTGTAACTAGCACTACGTGTGTGTAACCATGTTGTAGTGTGCACTGTGGGTGTGTAAGCAGGGTGCAGGTTGCCCTGTGAGTGTGCAAACAGGGGGTACTCTGCCCTGAGCCTTCCGTCGGGGTGTAGCTTGCAGAGCACATGTGTGAGGGGCTGTAGCCCGTGCCCTGTGTGTGCAAATGGGTGTAACTAGCACTGTGCGTGTGTAAGCACGGTGCCGTTTGCCCTGTGCAAGTGTAAGCAGGGTGCAGGTTGCCCTGTGAGTGTGCAAACAGGGGGTACTTTGCACTGAGCCTTCAAACCGGGTGTAGCTTGCACAGCACGCGTGTGAGGGGCTGTAGCCCACACCTTGTGCGTGCAGACGGGTGTAACTAGTGCTGTGCATGTGTAACTGTGGTGTAGTTTGCACTGTGGGTGTGTAAGCAGGGTGCAGGCTGCCCTGTGAGTGTGCAAACAGGGGGTACTCTGCCCTGAGCCTTCCGTCGGGGTGTAGCTTGCACAGCAGGCGTGTGAGCAGGGTGTAACCCGCGCCCTGTGGGTGCAAACGGGTGTAACCAGCGCTGTGCGTGTGTAACCACGGGGGGGGGGTGTGCGGGGGGGGGGGGGGGGGGGATGTTCTATAAGGGACGAGCCCGTGTGCGTGTGCCACCCCCCGGGGGTGCTCTATAGGGGACGCTGGGCTGTGTGTGCCCCCCAGCAGGCCGTGCTCGAGAGGGGGTGACGCGTTTATGCGTGTGTATGCGCGGTGGGCCCCGCTCTGCTCTATAGGGGCTGCGGGGCACGCGGGGTGTAATCTGGGGGGCGGTGGGGGGGTGGGGGTGTGCAATCTATAGGGTGTGCTCTATAGGAGTTGTGCTCTGCGTAGGGGCTGCAGGGCATGTGGGGCAACAGGCTGGAGGGGATGCAGTCCATAGGGGATGCAGGGCATATAGGGGTACGGTGTAGTTGCGATGTACTCTATAGGGGATGCAGCGTCTGTGGGGTGTAGGCTATAGGGGATGTAGTCCATAGGGTATATGGGGTGCAGGCTATAGGGGATGCCGCGTATGTGTGGTATAGTTTATAGGGGACGTACTCTATAAGGGATGCGTGGCGTGTGGTGCGTTCTCTATAGGGGGTGCAGGGAACGGGGGTGTACACTAGCAGAGGTACTCTATAGGGGACACAGGGCATGTGGGGTCTATAGGGGATTCGGGGTATGTGGGATGCACTCTATAGGGGATGCAGGACATGTGGGGTGCACTCTATAGGGGACACAAGACGTGAGGTGTACTCTATAGGGGATGTACTCTATACGGGATATAAGACGTGGGGTGTAATCTATATGGGATGCACTCTATAGGGGACACAGGACATGTGGGGTGTACTCTATAGGGGATTCAGGGTATGTGGAGTGTACTCTATAGGGGACATATTCTATAGGGGACACAGGACATGGGGTGTGCTCTGTAGGGGATGCACTCTATAGGGTATGTAAGAATGTGGGGTGTGCTCTATAGGGGACGCAGGACATGTGGGCTGTGCTCTATAGGGGACGCAGGGTATACGTGCACCAGGAGCCTATTCCATAGGGTGTCCATCCCTCCCTCCACCCAGCCCCAGATCCTGCCCCCCAGCAAGGCGAGCCCCTGGGGCTGCCCGTTGCGGGAGGGGAAGGGCAGGGAGCAGCTGGGGGGCCCGGACACGGCGGTGTCCCCTCCCGGTGTCCGTGTGTCCCCTCCCGGTGTCCGTGTGTCCCCCCCCGGTGTCCGTGTCCGTGTCCCCCCCATAAGCGTGGGGCTGTCGCCTATAGATGCTGCGGCTGCTGCTGGTGCTGTCGG